GCACGTGGAAAAACAGCAAAAGAAAACTCAATGAGCAATGGAAAGATTAATTTGTCTTTAGTGCTATCGCCCTTGGTAACTGCCAGAATGGGATTTATCCCTGAGAGGTTTAATGTCTGATTAAGGTGAGCCTGATCACTGGGTCATGTACAACAGGGCAGCACTGCATAGTAGTGATTGGCACTGACACTGAAACTGACTCCAGTTTAAGTTTTACTTGAGGATGCTCTCTGGATTTAAGATTATTCTGCATTTGTTGAAACTATCTGACTGCTAATTTAATGGTATAGACTTTACAGTACAGGTAACTATTTTGGGACACAGTGATTTTTTTATATAGTTCACCGACTTTGCAGATTTTGCAGTGATTAGAAACATGCAAAACTAAATTGTTCAAACTCCAAATATGTGCAGCAACATACAGATAGTTATATCTCTTCAAACAAAAAACTATTTTTTAGTCTTAAAGTAATTATTTTTTCAAAAGGTGCAACCAATTGTAAGTGATGACGATTATTATCCTTATTAGCTGGAAACTGAGGGAAAATATGGTCCCAAACAAATGGCCTTTTCCCATTAAAACCTTGGATTTAAATATGGCCACCAAAAACACGTTTCTGTTCCTAAGTCCAGAAATTTTGCTAATTGAATTGCATATGCACTTGGACTAAAAAGAGGACAAACTGAGTTCTACAATGAGTTTAACGTCTCATGTACCCTGTCAAAAATTATCACAACCATTTGTAAATCCCTTTAATTAAAGAGAAATTAATTCTCTGCATTTAACCCATCCCCTTGGGGAGCAGTGGGCTGCCAGCGTTTTGGGAACAGTGTGTGGTTAAGGGTTTTACTCAGGAACCCAGTGTGGAGGCTGTGGGGATCGAACCAGGTACTTGCAACCTTCTCAGAGCACAAGCAAGCTGCTCTAACCACTGGGCCAACACACCCCATTTGACCATTTTCTAAATTTACCTCATATTCCATCTGCATTTTTCATACACCATATCAAATATTGCTGTTTTTTGCTGAAAAATTAAGTACTTTTTTCTGTGCGTTTGAGCAGCTCCATGGCCCATCGGATTCTGACACAGTCCAGCAACACCACTGCACTTGTTACCTCAGATTGCTATCAGATCTTTCTGCCTGTGCCTCAGTCTTGTTATCATTATTTTGTATGTATGAGAGGTGGGGGCAACTTTCCCCTTCCCTTTTTCCTATGACCCCTTCAGAAGTCACACAGAGGGCCAGATCACAGCAAAACCAACATGTGGTTTGAGTTAGCATCTCTGAATTAAGCCTCGTACACATGAGCTTGTGTGCACATTCACAGTGCATGTTGGTGTGTCAGAACTGGTCAATTTATAGCTGCATTGTGAGAGCTAGTTGTGGTCTTTTGTGTAAAGTTTTGCATGAGTGCACACTAGCTTCTCTGTGCTTGAGAGAAGAACTCTCTAGTGCCTGCGTGTTTGTGGTTCTGCTCTGTGCAAGGAACTAAGGGTGAGTTAAAAAGTTAACATACTGTTCTTGGAAATCCTTTCAAAAATGTGACACTGTAAAGGTGGTATTTTTATAGGCATTTATCCCATCTCATATGCATTCAACACATCTATTGGTAATAATTAATATATGCATGCATGCTGCAGTTCAGCAAGCTTGTATCCTGAATTTTCTCCTCTATGGTTTGGCTGGCAAGCAGTGCAGAAGCACAGTGATGGTTTCTGACTTTTATCAAAGTTTATCTCATTGGCATCTTAGGAAGCAGAACAGGAGGCATAGCAAACCAGCTCACTGGAGCTTTTTTCTTCTGTTCTGATTATTTAAACAGCCTATTGCTGCGTCACAACATCAGATCTTTTTCCAGCCCTATTTACTCACCCAAACAGAGTTCCTTGAAGTGGCCTCTGGGTTTCTCCAACCTTCAGCGATACGTATCTCCCCATTTATAAAATGATTGTCTGATTAGGCAATGCTTGTTCAATAAAAATTGGACTAAAAGCAGAACAAACATAGCAAAGCTTGAATTACTTTAATGGGGTAGCAAAAATGGGTCATGGTGCATCGACATGTTGAACTACATAAGAATACGATAAATTTGATCTGCAGTGAAAAAAGAGTTTAAAAAACATAATTGGTATGGTTTCCGTTTAATGAAGGATTCCTTAACTTTCATTCAGACACAAGTGTCTTGTTACTGTTAAGCTGAAAACCCCATTCTAATTTCTTTATGAATTTAGAAGACTTTTGCATTAAATACTCCCACAATTTACTAAGTGAGTTTGCATGGTTGTAAGATTTGTTAGATTTATAGCATGTTTTAGCAAATAGAGAACAAATACATAGTTTATTTGATACCAAATTTAGCAGAAGGAAAAATCAGAGATGAGGTCTTTTCAAATCAGATGTTATGAATGTATGCGTTTTATGAGATCAAGATCCAACTTGATCTCATAAATTTGACTTTTGAAAAAATCTAGAGATAAATCTTATAATCAAGATACAGATTTAGATTTTTTGTTCTTTTTTGAAAAATAATTACAAAAATTGTGTAAGATTTTCTCCAGTTTTGATGCATTTTTAAATGCTGCTAACCTCATACAATTTGTGCCACTGTATGTGGGTTCACTTATATGTTAATTAAAGATAAAGTTCCAATGTATCTAATTCCCATGTATAAAAATTGAAGAAATTATTTGATATCTTAGATATATGTCATCTTCCCCTTCTTTGTCTTAGTTAAAAGCAAATCACCAGATAAAACATGAGTGTGGGCCAAAAAAGAATCTGAATGACAGGAAAGTATTTTATGATTAAATATTACGTGGTAATTCTTTCTTTTTATGCAATCTACGTAAGTTCATATTAGTACACACTCTAAAAAAATACTAAAATATACATAATTTTCTTTAAAAAAAATTATAACTTTTATGTTAGTTATGTCATAGTAGGAATATAAAAGTGTAATTGGATTAATAAAAAAGAACATAATGAAGGTCATTTTTGAACTGAAAACTTTGCAATAGTTGTTTTCATAAATAAATATGGAGCCCTTAGCAATAGCAATTCATATGTACTTTATGTATAATTTATACTGTACCTAGATTTGTGTTTTGTCTATAAGTCTTTTAAATATGTTTGCATACTTTGTGTTTTTTTTAACATAAATTTTGATTTATGATCAAATGTGTGGTACTTTTTGTAAAGAACAAAAACTTAAGCGCTGAATAAAAACTATCAAAAAAATGAAAGAAGGGAAAGGCCCATATAGAGCAGTATTCCTAAATTGATGCACAAATGTAAAGACCTTTGGACCCAAACAGTAACTGTAAAATGTGATAATCAATAAAAAAATAAACACCAAACCATGTTTGAATTTAAAAAGTCAACACCCACCTCTGATCTAAAGTCCACAGAGCCCATAACTTTGCAAAACAAACTACTTGTAAAGTTTTTTGCTATGGGATTCCTGCAAGAAAAGCAATCTGCACCAGAAAATGTGGTCAGGGTATTGGGACCTGAACTTTGCCTTATTGGTTAACTGGCTTTCCCAGTGGGACCAATCTGTTTGTTGGTGCAGCAGTATATTTATCAACTCTCTGTGCCTCTCAGTGGCAGTGATATCCTGATGATGTGGAGTCAGAGGCATGAATAGATGGCTGTATGGACAGACTGTTTATTTGCAAGCCTCTGAAGGTCGAAACATGGCAAAGAAGGCTGGCATTAGATGATATTCCCAGAGATTCTATGACCTGTTTCTTTCTGTCCGTCCACTATGATGTGTTTCATTTGCTGGACTTTATGTATGGCGTGGACGGTTTCAAACTTACTCATTTTCAAATGTCCTGGAAAACCAAACGCTGTTTTGTTATATTTCTGCTTTACAGGTGGTAGATTGCTGTGATGTCCTACAAATCTTTTTCTTGCTGTCAATAACTTACATTTTACAAGGAAATCAAATAGCCTAATTCTAAACAAAAGCCATCACAATCAACTTTAGACTGGCAGATGGACTCACATTTTATGAAAAATATTTGGGCATAAAGAGAAGATCATTTTCCTAGTTGGTGAAAACCCCCTAGATCCTGTGGTTGCAAAACGAGACAAAATAATAATACCTAAACTACTGAGCTTAACTAAACTACTGAGCTTAACAGGTGGTAAGAAGGGTATTTGTTTAACTGCTGTTTTTTGTTACTGTGACCAAAAATCTTTACTTAATATTTGCAATGGCAACTGAAAACAGAACAATTGTTTGTACTTCTTTCGAGTCAGCGTAGAAATGGTTTAATAGACAGGAGCAAATATAGGTGATCTCTTTCCCTGGCTCACACAAACCTCTATACATCAACACATGATTCATAATCGTACTTAGAGGCAGACAAATTAATTTCTAGCAAAGTCTGGCTACTGTTTCTCCCCATAAATCCTCTGAAAGGATTGTTCTTAGTTTCTTTCATACAGCTTTGCTTTTTGATTCAGTCTTATTTGATCAAAATGAAATTTTCCAGTGTGTGTTTTTATACATTTGTCAGATTTTTTATATTTTTCATACCTACCAAAGCCCAGATTATTTTTATTAAATTTCCATTCAAGAAGTAACCTGGCATAAGCACGATTGATAGTTCCATTCTGTTCCTACATGGTATCAATCTGGGAAGCCTACTATAGAAAGTTTTCGCAAAAGGGAAGAACATTAATCACAATTGTTCTAAATGATTGGTACCTGCCTCCCAAGTCGACCTTCAAGCTAATCTCAGCATCAGTAGCAAATGTGACACATTCCATTCCTGATTTATTTCACAACTAGTGGAGTTAACTGATGAATTAAACTTTTTTCCAAAATCCTCCCAGGAGGAACGTGCAAATATCTTTCCCTTCAACAAAGACAAAAACAGCATCCTATTCTCAGTGTTCAAGTTCTTCCTCAACATGCCTTTTGTTTATCCTGAAAAATTTGCAGCTGACACTTATCAGGTATTTTCTTTTTGTGTGTGTTTCTGCAGTTGGAAAACTTCATACAGAAGAGTTTAAGGCGAGATGCAGCTAACATACAGTCGCACGTTGTTAACAACCAAACAGCCGCAATGTTGGAAATTGGAACAAACCTCCTCTCACAGACAGCAGAGCAGACACGGAAACTCAATGTGGTTGAGGCCAAGGTAAGACGTTTTTCCCTTTAATTTGGTTTTAGTATCTTATAGTAAAATTCTTGGATTAGTCAAGATTCTCTTCTCTCACCAGGTCCTGAACCAAACATCTCGAATAGAGATCCAGCTTCTGGAGAATTCACTGTCCACCAACAAACTGGAAAAGGAGCTCTTACTACAGACAACAGAGATAAGGCAATTGCGAGATAAGAACAGGTAATACATGTTTTCCTCAGCTAAAATATTTATAAAATTTCTGCTTTACACTTTTATCTTGCTTAACGAGACAAATTAAAACAGGAATTGGGCCTAGATTTGAGAAACCTACTTACCATCAGTAAAGCATCTGTGATGGACTAATTCACAGCTGAACTGTTTAAAACTTGAGGTGAAGTTCTTCTACGGTAATCAAGTCCTGCTAACTATAGAAAATTAACCTTAAACATCACTGAGAGAGAAAAAGGCCATCATCTCCATCAATAACAAAGGTAAAAAACAAGAAATGAAGAACTACCCAGCCATCTGCTTGCTCTCCATCATCAAACATTTCCTCATGGAGATTAATAATCACAGCATCAAAAACACAGACGTTGGTTGTTGTCTGCTGTAAGAAAAGCTTGCATGATGGGAAGCAAAACATCTCCAAACTTGGACATCTAGTCCAGTGTTTTTTTTTTTTTTTTTTTACTTTTTTTGGAATGACTGATCTGGAAAATCTTCACCAGCATATCTGCTGTAAGAAATGAATCCAAAAAAGGCTCCTTGTTTTCCTGACCTTTAATTCTGATGTTGAATCTGATGTTCTTAACAACACTGTGCAAAAATCATTCCGAGACCAAAGAGTGAGAATAATCTGACACAGCCAGGTTGTAGCCAAAATAAGGGAAAGCTCTTTTTTCAGATGATGATGGGGATGCTAGAGATCTCTTATAGTATTTGCCTCACCCAAACCTATAGGCTCAATATTAAGGCAGACAATCAGGAAAGTTATTGCAACCAATGGTTAACTGCTGTATGTCCCTTTTAAATATTATGTGCCACCATTGATGGAAAAGGGGCTAAGGTTGGAGAAATTGTGTAATATTTATTTCAGTGTCCAGGTCCCTTCAATATGATATCTATGATTAGCCTCTTTACAAGGAGCAAGTACATATTTTCCATTCAACATTGTCTATCTTTCTCTTGGATCTTTCTTCTTTCTGGATCTTAGACCTGGATTATTGTCAAACACCATTTAAACAAAGTTGAGGCTCTGACCACTTTGATGTCTCCATCAGATAAAGTCATGGTATTCCAGATTGAATCTTTTTATGAGAACAAATTAATGACAATGGCATTCAAGGTCAAGAGAGGAAAAGAAAAAAAAAGAAAAAAGAAATTACAATATATTAAATTAAACTTATTTAGGCAAAGTCTGAAAAAGATTACAGACGGCATCTGACCTTGTTAGGCAGCCAAAGCAAAACACATTGTACAAGGAAAAATTCACCCATTCGGTGGCAAAGCAAAACAAGATGTTCTGTTGCTACAACTGATAATCTGAGAGTCTAATGCTGCATTAAGACATTTGGAAATAAATACAGAAATATAAAACATATTCTAAAGTGGGCATATTGTTCATCTGACAGAATAAGAAGCTGAGTCATAATGTAGAGAAAGTCAAGTAAACCCAAAGTGAAGGTGTTATTGGATGACTGAGCATCCCTACCCTACATGAAACTGGACAGAAGTGTGGTTAAATATTGGTTTTTAACTAAACCAAGTTTGAGATAAATGTTTAAAGCTAAGAACTTTTGGCAAACATTATACCTATTCAAGTAAAGCCCTCTGCTGTTTTGACAGCAAATGTGTGCATTTTTGTGAAAAAAAACAATTCTCTTAAAGTTCTACTCTGTTTTATTTATGGGTCTCTACTGGCAGATATACTACAGTCTTTTCATTAATCCAACGTTGTTTAACAAGCTATGTTTTGATTTTCAGTGAACAGGAACAGGACAAACAAAAAAGCTTGCTTTTACTAGACCACTGTCATTTATATGGTTGACCATAACTGAGAATTTAGGGGGGAAAAAAGAAAATACAGAATCTTTTTTACCAGCTATAAACATGTTTAACCCTGGTACAAACTTTGCGGTATACTGGTGAAGATTCTCAGTCATCCAGGTCATAGTCATTCCAAAGTAAAAAAAAAGAGTAAAAAAAAAAAAAAAAAAAAAAAAAAACGCCTGGACAATTTTTTTCCAAGTTTGAAGACATTTCGTTTCCCATCCAGGAAGATTTTTCAATTTAAAATGTCTGGATTAGAGTTGAGTTCCAGGCTTTATAGCATAGCCCAACAAAGTCTTGTTATGGCTTAGAATACATGCAAATATGCAGGGGACCAAAACATCTTGCCTGGTCAGCCAGGCCAACAATGACCCTTAGCACACCCTTTTCAGAAGCATAGCGCGGTAAAGGGTATTGCAGATCAACAACGACCTCAACAGCTCCCCATTACTAAGGGGTGGACCTGTTCTTTCAGTTCAATTTGCATGTTTTCTGGGCCATAACAAGGCTTAATCCAGACATTTTGAATTAAAAAGGTTCCAGGATGGGAAGCGAAACATTTTCAAACAAAACAAAGTCCAGTGGGTTTTTTTTTTTTTTTTTTACTTTTTTGGAAAAACTTTGTCGTGTTTTCTTTTTTTATTGTAGTTAGTTCTTCACACAAATTGGATTGCATGTCATATTTAGTTTAAGGTCAAAATGTGTCCTTTCTGCCTTATCTATATTATTATTTATCTATAATGGAACTTGCCCTGACCTTCATTTATTTTCAACCCCTTCTATGATCTAACTCTAAAGCTAAACCTAAATCTCACCTCACTCAAGGAACCTAACCCGTAGCACCCCCAACAAAGATAGGACAAAAAAAGTCCTCAGTTTACTGGTAAAATGTGAGAAATGATTATCACTCATTTACAAATATAAATACACCAACACATACACATTCAAAAGTAAAAAACAATATCAGCTACAAAATCACAGCTGCTGACGTATAAGTCGGAATATTTGAAACCTAAGTAAGTTGGTGGAAAATGGTGGAAATTTGACCTCAGCTGTTGCTAAGAGACCCGCCAATATTTTGATTCACAATAATTTGAGTATATTTCATTATGGGATGAATTTTGACAATGCAATGAGTGGTGAGAGCCACTTGGTGATAATAAAGCGTGGTTTCTGTTTACAGTAATCGATATTACATAAACAGAAAGGATTTGAGAAAACAGTACTCTTAAAGTATGCAAGAGATTTCCTTTAGGTGATGCAACCTTGTATGTCCTGAAAATGCAGAAACAAAACCTGACAGCAACATTTTAGTGGATGACATCAGAGCTACCACTGTTTTAGCATTACTGCTTCTTTGAATCAAGGATTAAGCTGAATAAACTGCTGATAGGACAAGAAAATATCCCATCTAATAAATCATATTTTCAGCATAACAAATTACCTCAGATTTAACAAGATATTGACTCTTAGCCTTTTAATACTTGTGCTTCATACTGATTTTAGCAAGAAAGGAATACGGCATTCCCAGTTTTTGTTTTTGTTTGACTTAATTTCCACCATTATTCATCGGGACATGTACTATTTGCACAATTTGTCAAAGAAAATGTCTGTCTTTTGTTTTATCGAGGGAGATTACTCAAGGTAAAAGTCAAGAGTTCATAGATTTTAAATTATTAAATGTGTTTTCTTAATTAACAAGCTAAATGGTTTATAAATATTTGCATAATATAGATTGGATTAAACAAGCAACATTATCATTATAACACAAAAAGAAAATGTAAACCTAAAATGAGATTTATTTTCTTAACATGAGATAAAGATAGAAACTGCTATAAAGGTGAAAAAAATATGATAATCAAATAGCAAACCTAGTGTCTCTAAGCTCGATCATCTTTCTGTTTTAATTATCCAATGCACTGCCTTTTCTGGCTTTACTTTACATACATTTTATTTCATTTTCTTAAAAAAATAAATCAGCAAATCCGAGAGTAAAGGATATTTGCTTTGTGTTTTATTTTAGTTTTTTATTATAGTTTTGATAAATGTGTTTGTGCACATGCTTTTAATGACGATCGTATTACAAGTGACAGTTTGTGCACATCAATTTACACCAGGTGTGAAAATGGGTCCAGACTGAGCAAATGTGTTTGAGTCTTACTTCATTACATAAATAAACACGTTCACTTCCAAACTCACATGCAGCTGTGGACAAATGGAAAGGACATCCTGTAGGTCTGCTCGAATTTCTGCAACATCCCAGGTTATGCTCCGTGACCTTAACCCTGGAACAGATCGTAAAATAACATACGAGAGACTTTTGTCAAAATACAGCAATCAACATGACACAGGCAGATCTGAAAGCATGGATGTGATAGAAGTGAAACACAATCTTTTATTTAGTGTGAAAAATTATGTTAGCATAACTCAAAAGTGGACTGTCAAGGATGAAGTTTTTAGTGCTGGACCCAGAAATACAGACAGACAAGTTAAAGATACAGGGTAGGACAAAGGAAAGTCAGGTGCACATTTCACAATCCAAAGAAAGTGCACATTATTTAGGAAAAAAAATCCCTTTATTGTCCCACAATTACTTAATGCATATTGAAATGCATGCTGTTGCTTAAAGCACTTAAAGCATACTTTTAGAGATTCAAAGCCCCAAAACTGCAGTGCTAACACAAGGTCTCACGGAAATGTGTTGTTTGTTGTTTTTAAGAAGAATTTATTCTATATAAAGAAAGAGATTCAACTTACCAAGCAATTTTCTGCCGGGTTTAAATCATGTGAATTGTCTTCAACCCACACTGAGACAAGCTGATGTGTTTAAAGTTTTAATTTTGTTTTCCATTTTAAAATTTTTTTAGTATTTTACAATGTTTAAGAAAACTAGTTGGACGAGATAAATAAAATGCATGGTGTCTTAGAGTTTTTGTACTTCATAAAGCATTATATATGTTCAGGCCATTTTATCTATCCATTAATTTGCCCAAACCATATTCCTGGACAACATGTTATCATGAAAGACCATACTGTACCTCTAAGAAGGTTATGGTGTGTCTGTTATCTTGGAATCTAATGACATAATTAGCTTTTGCTTGTTCAAATTAAGTCAAAATGTCTCTTTTAAATATTTTAAATGTCATGCAAATACTTTTTTGCCTAACCTACAGTTCTTATATTTAAATCTTTTTTTCCACACTGTAAATATGCATTCATGCCCACACATCTTATATGTTCCCCACTAACCACTGTGCCAGAATGGTCCTTGGCTCTCCATCTGTCTCCATCAGCGACAAGAATGTTTCCACGTTCACATGTAGGTCAGCATGTTGAAGTGATCACAGCCAGGAGCTGATCCTAGGTTACAGCTCTATTAATGGCACCAATGTCTCACCTGCTCATGTAAGATAATACCACTGCAATGCATAAATGAACAACATTGCAGATGCTGATGGAACATTTTATTGAAATTTTCCAGATGTTAACTTTCTTCTCTAGCGTTAACACCAGGGCTGCTCATTTAGATTAGCTCCAAACCCCAAACCATCATAAATTAACATAATATGATTACTTTTTACAAATGAAATAGAAGAAATGGTATTTTCATACCATTAAACTCGTATTTTTCTCATTTTTTATGAAGAATTCAAAGAAATTCCATATTTAAAGTAGGTGGAAGTATTTTAGCTGTTGTCAGATGGATTCTTGTTAAATGTAGCATAGATGCTAAATATCTCCTCTTACTCTGTGTTTGTTTCACTAAACATTTATTTTGCTACAAATTAAAAGAGATTTTCTTCCAATAATGTTGATTAAAAAGTTAATTTCATACTTTAAGAGAATATTTTTCTATAGAGCGGCAAGAGCCGTAGGTGTTATAACGAAAAGGTAATTTGCATATTTATGCTTTTGATCCATTTCACTGGATCAGAATTTCTCCAAAAATTACCCAGTTAACAAATATTAGTGATTGATCTATTGAGATAGAAAATCAATGCATTAAAATCTGTTGGTAAAAACGGAGGATATGAATGAACCTTAAAAACATTAGAACATGAAACATGTTGGATCTGTTCTCTTTTTGATACTTCACCACTGTCACACATTCCCTCCTTTTCCAGATATTCCTGTTGTTGCTCTAACCTTAGTCTGCAGTCGTCTTTCAACAGCTGCACTGGCAGCTACATAGCAGAGATAACAAGACCTGGGGTCTGAGATGGCAGAATAAATCACGGTCACAGAATTAATCTTCATTTCACTATTTAAGTGTCTTTAACGACTGGGAGTAATTTAGCCTTTACAAAGTTTGCTTCATCTCACTCAGAGTTAGAGTTCAAGTAGTGGGAATTTGAGTTCTCCCTCTGCATCACTTTTATTTTAAAACTAATTTTTGGTGTGAACAGACCACCAATCTGCATTTCTTTAAAACGTTTTATCCTCCACTCGCAATTTATATTGGATCTAAATGTGGACATGAAGCAATATTGCAAAATAGTTAGTTTTCATTCTTTTACCTTCAGAGCATTCAGTTTGAGTGGTTTGGTATATAGAAGAACTGACATCAATCTTAAGAAATAATCAATGACGGAGGAAGGTGATATTTTTCTAGGACAGAGCTGTTTTATGCTGTTATTCTCTAATTCCTACAAGTATTTTGTAAGAGCTCAAAAAACTGTTATCAATGCAATTAAAAAAACTGGGAAAAAATTATTATCTCATATCCAGTATGCATAGCAGAAAGTTGGTGAATTGTTTTGGGTGAAGGTATCTTCTGTCTGACTTCTTTTCTATGTTTCTTTCAGCCATTTGGAAAGCAAAGTTCAGTTGCTTGAGTCTCAACAGAGAGGAGAGCTTGAGGACATGAGACTAGAGAAGAACCGACTGCAGGTACAGTTAATGAGCGGAACATCTGTGTGTTATTAGACTAAAGAAACAACATTTGCTCTGGACTGTTTAGACAGGTGTCTGAGAATGTATTATAATTTAAATTAATCATGAAACGTTTCTCAGATGTGTATACCAACTATATTTTAACAGAGGCATAGATATCAAGTCCTCTGGCCATGTTTTATGTGCGAAAGTTTAAACACACACAATAAAACTAATGTCAAGCACATAATTGTTAAGAACCAGTTTGATTTCTGTCAGAAAAGTTATGATTTTATTTCTGCATATTATCTAATGTTTAAACCAAAATGTTTAAATTGTATTCATAATATCTTAATACAGACATGAATTAAACAGCGATGAACCTTTTGTTTTATAGTCTGTGATCAGGACTCAGATGGTGGCTATAGAGTCTCTAGAAAGGCAGCTGAGAGTCGCCACCAGCAACAACTCTGCCCTGCAGAAGCAGCAGGCCCAGCTGATGGAGTCGGTACACACCCTCATCGACATGGTGGCCACGACTACAGGTATGTACACAAACATTAGGAGAGGTATTGTGGAATGAAATCTTATTGTTTCAAATTTTATTGGCATGTGCTTTGCTTTCAGGGTCGCCTCCTCGGAGCCAGGTGTGGAAGGACTGTGCAGATGCCTACAAGGCTGGTCATTCTGCCAGTGGTCTTTACCACATTTATGTCGGTAACAACACAGACCCTGTTCAGGTAATTACTTTATGACTTCTCCAGAGTGCACACTCAAACTACCTGACCAAGGAAGTTATAATATCTGACAGTCAGTAGTCACAAAAGGTCTAAGAAGTTTGCAGCATAGAAAGGGTGGAATAGTGGAGTAATCTGAAGGAAGGGCTAAGATCCATCACTGTTGGCAGGTTCTGCTACACACCCTTATAAAAAAGGTGTGTGATTTATTTTTACTACTGTTTAAGACATTATATTTGTTGTCTGTCACTCAGACAAAATAAAGGTGAGGGTGTTCAGTTTTCTCTGATTTTCACTATATTTAAATAGCACATTTTACTCATTAAAATGTACAGCTTATTTTCAGTTTTTAATGCTGTGTGATTTTGACTTAATGAGCCAGTTTCAGTTTATTTCCCAATTTGCTGACATTAAATCCAACATTTGTGTCAAATATTCCACATTTCTCCTTCTGAAGGTGTACTGTGACATGGAGACGAGTGGCGGGGGCTGGACAGTCTTCCAGCGGCGCTTCAACGGCAGTGTGGATTTCCAGAGGAGCTGGAAGGAGTACAAAATGGTCAGAATGCTTCTCCATGACAGCCATTAAAATAACAATGATGTTTAATCAATAAAGCAACAGTTCACCTCACATCTTGTCCTCCTCAACTATCACAGGGTTTTGGAGACCTGTCGGGGGAGCATTGGTTGGGCAATGAAGTTTTACACCTGCTGACCAGTCAGGGTCAGTACTCTCTGAGAGTGGAGCTGCAGGACTGGGAGGGAGTCTCTGCTCACTACCAGTATGACCGGTTTACACTGACCAGTGAAAGACAGCAGTACAGGTAAGACACATAAATGGGACACTTCACTGAAAAAGGAGTTGTTTAGATAAAAGGACAAGATGTGTCTGGAGCATTATAGAAATCTTCTTAAAGGTATTGTGGAGGATTTTGTTTTAGAGGGTTGGATCATCAAAATAAGTGGTCCTCCTAATTGCCAATCATTCTGGTGATATGCTTACGTAGGGCCAGCCTACATGCCTGTCTGCATTTTCAATTACTGGTGGTGAGTCTGACACGGGGGAACATTTGCAAATCTTCTTTTGGAAAGGAAGTTTGTATGAGTGATGCAAACAGCAACTTTTAAACAGAACGTGCACAAGGAGAAATTGGCAAATTCATGCTCTTGGACGCATTTTATAGGCGTTCCCTCTTGGGAGCGGGAACAGGGTTGTGCATGTGCATTTTTTTTAAGTGGAGAGGGTAGGTCTTTTGAAAAAATTGCAAAAATCCTCCACTATTCCTTTCGTTTTATGCTTAAATTTAGATTTAATATCTTCACTAAGGCCTGCTATATTTACTCAATTAGTACTTATTTGTAATGTCCTGTGAACGTATATCTGCTCGAGAGTCTGTGAATTTACAATTTGAATGAGAAGTTAAAGTCCCAGCAAAACTTAAGTCATGATTAAGTTCTGTACACCTGCTGATTAGAAGATTTTATTTATAAAAGACCAATATATAATAAAGAAAAATCACCTTTTAATTATTCAACAATTTCAAAGTTTTGACATATTTTGATATTTGTGGGGATCAAATGCAAACAGAAGTATTGGTTTGTTTTTTTTTTATTAATCTTTTTGCTCAGTAATCACTCTGGAAAGTCCTTCTTTTTACAATAGTTGCATATTCAGTAATAAATAAAGAAAAGATAATCATGTATGACAAATACAAACGTTTATCTTAATGCAACAAAGTACCTAAAGGCTCTTTTTGATTCTGCTTCTCCATATCAAAAGCTTTAAACTTCTCAGTAGGTAAATTTCAGCTCTTGAGTTTGTATCACTGATGGGTTTTTTGTCAAGGAAATAAAGAGATTAACTGGTGGAGGTCATTGGAACGACTCTTTGACTTTCTTGTCCAAAGTGTCTCAAGACAGATCAGGCAGAAATTGATCAAAATCCTAAATGAATGTACAGTAGCCTGTCATCTACCAATGCATGTGAGATTCATTGCTTTATCATGTGCACACAGACTTGAATTAATTAGAATGACAAAGAATCAAGGTAGGTTTCATCTCAAACCTGTTAAAATAAAATCTGCATTTTGGTAGCTTTGACCTAACCTTACATTATATAAGAAAGCAGTGAAGAACTCTTGTTGAAAGAAGATGGAGGAAATGGTTTATTTTCCTGCTGGCCAAATAAAGGTAAATGCCTCCTCATCAGTCTCAATTGAATAAAAATAACTCAGACGGCTGCAGTTCGTCCAAAGTGCTGCTGTCATGCTATTCACTAACACCGCTGAGGTGGAGCGCATTCCATCGCTTCTTAAATCACTACAACGGCTCCCCCTGTGTCAAAGGGTAGATTTTAAATTCCAATTACTTCTCTAAAAAGCACTCAATGGCCTCAGGCCTGAATATATCTCTGATTGGCTTGAAGATTACAAAACATTGCGATCCCCCCGATTGTTTTTGACAGGTTTAGTGGGTGCTGATAGAATCAAACTCAGGTTTAAATCCTCTGTACCTGTGGAACAATTCAAAAAAAGAGAGCAGTTCAAGTTTTTGTATTTTATATTTACATATTCAATTTTAAGGGTGTCCACCTGGGATGCTTATTTTTCCTCTGATACAAGTGTTTTACATTTCTGACTGTATCCTAGATGTGCATTCTGAGACAGATGTCTCTTCAAAATGTCCCTTTTGTCTCATAATGACAAAAAGGTTTCATGATCCCTAAAAGTGAAAAAAAAAAACATTGAAGCCAGAACAACAACAGATCAGATGTTGCAGTTCTGTTCATGTTTAGTTCAAAGTCTTTTTTTTTCTCTAGTTAAGCTGTCTAGCTGTGATTGATTAATAGTTAGTCATTAAGGCAAGGAAAAGGTTCCTAGAGTCAATGTATGAACAAGTCTTATGCCTACAACTTCTATAAAACATAGATAGGTGATACATAAGCATAAAATATTTATCCAGAGGAAAGGCAGAAGTTTCATTAGAAATGTAATTATTGGTTAGTTATTTATCTGCTTAGTTAATAAGGTATAGTGATACGCTTTTTTGTCCTGTAGCGCCCCCTCTGAGCCTCTTTCTGTAACTTCTATCCCTTTGGTCAAACTATACCTATACCAATAAGTTTGAGTTTAGATGCAATGACTGGACAAAAAAGAAGTGTAAAAAATATATATATACATATATATAGTTTACATAAGTATAACACTATAAAGTATAGTTTACTACTGTATACTTTATAGTGTTACAAACTATCTGGCTTATTGATTCTAAGATAAAAAGAAAACATATTTTGATAGTCACTTTTTTCACAGTTCTGTGGGGGGGAAAAAAGCATTAAAAACATGGAATTTGGAAATTATTAACCTTCTTTAACATATTCAGTTCATGATTTTCTCTTTCTGCCCTCAGGTTGTATCTGAGAGGTTACAGCGGTACAGAGGGAAGGCAGAGCAGCCTGATCACCCACGGGGCCGGCTTCAGCACCAGAGATCAAGATAATGACAACTGCGATCACTGCAAATGTGCCTTGATGCTAACTGGAGGTTTGCTTTTTTTTGGCTTTTTTTGTAGAGTCAACAGCTTCAGTCAGTTCTTACTCTTTATTAGAAAAATTATCTTATCGAAAGATAAACTGCCAGCAAATCAATGAACTTGTAATGTTGATATTTCTTGGGGCAGATTGCTATAGATATAATTTTATTAGATATTAAAACCAGTGTTTCTCTATTATAAATGACCGTGAAACGATAATTTAGCTAGTAAGCACATTTGACTGCTTGAAGAGAATTATTGGTAGGTTGCTAGAAGGTTTGGTCAGTCAAACATCTGTCTCTGTCCTCTGTCACGACACTTTCACCTTGAGCCACCGCCAACATAAACAGCTCTTTGGTTCTCCTCAGCCTCCCCTCCATGGCTTGTAATCGCAGATTAACTTAATCATTTTGGCCAAAATCCCTGGGATCTCAAAGGAAAAGACTCCAGCAGCGACCATTAGTCGTATAGTCTTTTCAAAAAACAGCAAATTTAGCGAGAAAGACAAAGTAAAATAAGAAACAGCGGCTGAGATGGAAAGAGCAGAGAAAGTAAAAGAAAAAAAGACAAACACAGCTCCATCATGTGTCCCTCTAGGCAAAAAATACATTTGTGCCCAATTTGAAAATAATGAGTGCTTAAAAAAACCAACATGTTGTTTGTAAGAATTTCAGTGTAATTTCAGACACGTGTCACAAGGCAAAGTGAAAGGCTCTATATGAATCAGTCACATTTGACAGATCTTTCTAAAGGCGCCCATTAACTTCTAATGTTCATGTTGATTTGTTTTTGTTAGCAGAGTAGCGCCAGACATCATTACAAGTTTGAAGAATGCATTTAAAAGAATCAGATATCACCAATCAAACATTAAAACTCTCCTTTTCTGTTAGGTTGAACACCCATACTTCTCTATTTTACATATGAAAGTCTATTTAATTCTATGTTGAAGCATACTCTTGTCTTTGTGCAGGACTTTTGTAAACACTGAGCTTTTAAAAGCAGAGGGAGACGAATTGTGGCTTTAGGGAAGGACTGTGTTTTATTCCAGCATCAGAAACTTGTGTTGGCTGGTTGCTTTTAAACTTAACTACAGACCTTCTGTTGTAGATTTAAATGGTGTTTATGTAGTTGTTTGAACTTGACCATGCTTGTTAGCTGTGAATCTAACACAGAAAGCAACAAATTTGGTTATAAAGATGTGTTTTTTGTTAAACAATCAGTTTTAAATAGCCTGGGGTTTCGAAACTGTGTGAATCCATCCATCTTCTACCACTCATGGATCACATTGCAAACAAAGAATGACAGAAAGATTGGATTATTACAAGAAGGGAGACAGGTTAAGGTCTCCCTTACACACTGATTCCAGATTGTATTAAAGCACACACAAAAAAGAAAGTTCAGAGCCATAATTAGAGTATCCAATTCAATAAAACTTTTAGATGTAGGCATTTATTAAACATGAGCCGGAAAAAAAGGTTTTATTGGGCCCTTAAAGAGAAAATAGTTGGGGCCCCCAAGAAGCAGGTATTAATGCCATGGGCATGCTGAGGATTTAATCGCTCACATTCATGTTAATGGAGCGTTGCAACTCCTGAGCTGCTCTCTAACCTAGAATTAACATGAAGACAGCCATGTAGGCCCCTGCAAGTATTCCAAACCATGATTATGTTAGGGCTGCAGCAACAGTCTTCATGTTGTATTTGGCCCAACCGCTGCACACCGGCAGAAAGATTCAAGTGCTTGCACAAATGTTTCGACAGAAGGAACCTAAATGGACAACATGAAGTTTGTATCTAATAAAACACTAGTTACATTTTGATCCCCCCCAGTCTTGGGCCTTTGTTGTTGCGCCACACTGTGAAATAGAAATCGTCATGGCTCAGAGAAGAGGACCCAGTATTCAAGGCAAGACAGTGGGATTACTCAAAAAGCGTTTATTTAAGCACATGTCTGTGAAAACTAGCTGCTAGGGTGTCTAAGGCAGGAACCTTTGGTTTTATAGTTCAGTCCGTACCCAGAGAAGGGGGTTGATTCCAGCCAGATACAGTGGTTGCCACACAGAGACTTCCAGACGCTGAAGCCTTGAAGACAACAGAACCGGCAGGAGATCAGATCCAAGCAGATGAAGAAAGGTAGGACAATCCAGAGGGCAAAGTCAAAGCCGGTGTCGAGGTAGTGCTCAGGATTTAGAACCAGAAGATCAGAGGCCTGAAGAGTTTCTGAAGGGGCATTTGGGTTGGTGACAGGAATCAGTTCCAGGTTAGGTTAAAGGCAGAACAGGTCAAGATCAGGCAATTGGAACACAATCAGGTATGAGAACTCTCACCAAAGGCTTGAGAATAATCTGGCTCTTATGACTGGGAGCAGGCAGGTTAAATAGAGACTGGAGCAGGCAACACAGATGAACGGTGATGAGAAACTGGGTGGAGCTAGACAAGTGAATGGAATGTGTAATCAAGCCAGTCATTGTTGCCAAAATCATGACAATAAATGGCTCTTCTTTACTAATGACCTATTTTCAGGAGTAAGTGGTAGATTAATGGTTCTGGAAAGCAAAATAGTCACCCCTCTCATTATCTCTCCTTCCTTTGTTTCCCAATCATAACTAGTCTTTCTCCTTGTTGTGCTATTCCTCCATCTAGGTTGGTGGTTTGATGCTTGCGGTTTCTCCAACCTAAACGGCATCTACTATACAGTCGGCCACAACATCCGGAAGCTCAACGGCATTAAGTGGCACCACTTCAGAGGCCCCAGCTACTCCCTGCGTTCCACTTTAATGATGGTCCGACCCTACGACTTCTAAGAAGACCCCTCCACATTTTAGACATGTGAATGTTGGCAATGATCTCACAAGCATAGGTCTGGATTCTGTGTTCCTCGTAACAATGCGCCTTACCTTCTGCTCCATGGTCCAGCCATGGTGCATCCTCTGGATCTGACATGGTACAGTCCTTTATTCATGACCAATAACTGATCCACCTTTGAAGCCTTGAAGACTAAAGAACTTTACACTTACAAGCACCACTCCGATGAAAGATAAAACAATATAAAAAAGCAAGTTCATTATTTAAATTCATATTTTAGATGTTTCTATAGCAGGACATATCTGCACTGTACATTGCCTTTGAAGCCACATGTTGACATAGTTGTTTATGTACATTCCCAAAGACATGAGTTGTGATAAAACATGCTGTTTGAGTAAAACAAATACAAATGTGTGCCAGCCCCTCGGAACTAATGTGGGTCAAATGGATCAGCCTGCTAGCTGGATTTTAGATTTAAAGAAAAGATCTTAATACTTTCCTTCCACACATGGTTACCACATGTGAAAGGTTTGGATGAAGTCAGGGTAGCATGTTTAACCATCATCGTTCCTTATTTCAAGGTTTAAAGCAAAACTTCATATATGCAAATAATGCACCTTATCAATTTGATCACAATTATTCCTCACTCTTCTTATCAAGCAAACCATACATAGCATTGTCTCTTTTAACACTTTTGAGGACGTTTAGATGATGGAAAAAAAGGTGATAACCAAATGAGTTTTGGTCAAAACGTAAGGAAAACTATTTTTTGTTTGTTTTTTTTAGTTGTTTTTTTTTATGTGGTCCAACGTCATGTTCTCTAAAAAGTATGAAAAAGTGGAATATCATCAAAAACTAATTTATTTTTGGTAATTTAAGTAAAAAAGAGTGAAACCCATGTATTATTTATGCTTATGTCTAATGATTAGATTCTGATTAAACTGATTAGATTCTGATTAAGGCTTACAGCTAAGGAAAGACCAAATTTAAATCATTTAAAAAAAAAGACCAAATGACATACATCCATGGATTGTAGATTACATGGCAACTATGCATGGATTGCTGCAACAGTGGTATCTCTGATTGGCTGGTAATCAACTGGTCAGGGTAACCAGATGATTTCTTGGTGCAGCCCTGGTTATCTGTTATTGTTGTATTTGGAAGTCTTTTTTTGTTTTCTCCTAGCTATCTTCCTTTTTTTTAATCTAAACTGATTTAAATGTTTTAAGCAAAATTTGGACCTGTTTGTCCTTTACACACATCCAAATTGAAAGGATCAATGTTTTATTTAGCAAAGTTCTTCCAAAATTTTGCATTAAAAACAAGTAAACAAGTAAAAACGGGATACAACAACATAAATGGGAAAAGGTGTAAAACATGGAAATTGATAGAGCAAAGACGATCGTCTCAAGGATTTTAGGATGGCAGTAACAGATATTAGTCTGATGCAGACAATTAACATGGTATCTGTCATGTACCTATATTGCAATCCGAAGCTGTAAAAAACATGAGTGGCAATGGGGCCATGGGCCAAATTCTATGAGAAAATGTAAACAACATCTAACTTTAGGCAGACATACAGTCCTCTAAACGTTTGTGGTAGATGCCTGGTCTGACTTTAGACTTATTGAAGCACAAAGGATTCAAAATCAGTAAATGAAATGATTTCACACGTGGATTCTCTCTTTCTGCAGACGATGCAAATTCCAAATTAAATGACATTTTTACTTGTATCTAAATGAGATACTTTGGACCATTGAGCAACAGTTTGGCCCTTCCGTATCTCATTTTTTAATGTGGTTCAGACATCTGTGGGTCAATCAATCAATATGATAGTTATCCTCCAACATATGTCTTCATGTGGATTAATATCTTTTGAATACTCAAACTTTAGAATTGCCCTTTAATCCTTTCTCTCTCTTCTACCGTACTTAACTTTCTATTAATGGTTTGAAAATAGACTCTGTGAACAACCAGCTTCTTCCGCCTCCTTAGCATGACAGGGAAGACCATAACAATGATATAATGCAACATTTCTGTATTTAAAATTTGTGTTTTCATTAGCTCTGAGCCATAATCATGAAATTAATACTATCAGTGTTTTGCTTGGATATTTATGATATATGAGGTTCACTTTTAATTGGAATAGTCAAATTTCTTTACTGAAATGCTCCTATACTTCCAAAAAGGTCATTTTTTTGAGGACAAAATAGCTGACAAAATGATGTTGGATATATATATATATATATATATATATATATATATATATATATATATATATATATATATATATATATATATATATATATATATATATATATATATATATATATATATATATATATATATATATATATATATATATATATATATATATATATGGAATTTTTTTTCTTCTTTTTTTTTTCTTTACTTTATTCAGATTCAATTTAGGACGGAGTATTTATGAAATCAAAGAACCACAAGTTGGAAAGTTCGAAAAGAAAGAAACACTGACCGAAAAAAAGAGAATAATCGGCAGCCTGAATGAAGCTTCTCTAAAAAAAAAACACAGCGTGTACATTGAGCCAAGGCTTTGGATTCAGATTTTGTTTCAGACACTCAAAGTACACAATTCTGGCACCAAAGAATTTGCAAAAAAAAACAAAAAAAAAATGTGCGAAGATGATAACAAGGAGACTTGAAGTAAAACACAGCTTAACACAACGGGAACAAGAAGAGGACAAGATAATGTGGGGAAAAGAAATGCTTAAATGGATGGAGTGGATTCGATGCCAGAGCATCAGGAGACTGTAATGGATAATCATCCCGCAAAAGGAAGTGATTCCTCTCCAACGTCCTCCATCTGTGATCTGGTTTCTTTCAGAAGGCGGCTGGCTCTGACTGCTCTGGAAACAGGGCCAAATGAAAATGTGCAGTAGGACTAAACAAGGAGTGTGTTGTTGTTGTACATCAAAATCAAGCATTGTTGAGAGTTCCCTTTGAGATGCAAAAAACAGACTAATGGACAAATATTAGTGTGTCTCAAATTCTGATTGTGGTGTATAGTTTGTGAACAGAAAATGACTTACTGACACATTGTAAATACAAATGGAAACTGACCAGTAATTGAAGGGCGGGTTGATGTAAGTCTAGCAGCTGAGTATTACAGTTTTCACTATTGTTCAGGAACTATAAGCACGCAAACTTTTTTTTAATGCAATTATAAAGTAATATGGTAACACTTACTGGACACTGATAGAAGGAAAGTGAACAAAATAATCAAGAAATAAACAAATCATTTGTATTAGCACATGCAAGCCAAATCCAAAGTACTCATTCTTCTTTTGTTTTATGTTGGGTAAAGATTCTGGACCATGAAATGAGAAAAGAACAAACAAAATACAGATGTTAGGATTGATCGAGTCCAGATCTTCAAGCAAATTAATGTGGTTTTGATTATTTTCCTTATCTGAACGATGTGGGCATTTTCTATTTTTTCTTTCTATTTTTTTTTTCTGTTGTTGAAAAGTGCATTTTATTATGGTTAGTGAACTAATAATCTCCTGGCACTCATTCAGAAATAAATCAGTTTAAGAACATTTGTAATTATATTCAGTGCATTGGTTTCCTTAATTCTTCATTTTAAATAATCTAAGACACACTGAATTACATTGTATTACATGCTTCCATTTATGATTAAAAAAGGGAAGGAAATATGATATTGGAATCATTCTGTGTCTCCTTTGGTTCACATTTCAAATACCAGGTAATGCTTCTAAGTTCTGTTCAATAAGTCCAGATCGGTTTTAGTGTGTTGTGGTTTATTCATAGAATAGAATAGAATAGAATAGAATAGAATAGAATAGAATAGAATAGAATAGAATAGAATAGAATAGAATAGAATAGAATAGAATAGAATAGAATAGAATAGAATTTAACTTTATTGTCATTACATTGTCACAAGTACAAAGAAATGAAATGTAATTTGCATCTATCCAGAAGTGCTATAGAGGATATAAATATTTATTTACACTTGCACAGAGACCATGAATGTATTGACTATAAATAGTATATATATATATAAGCAGAGAATAATTGCAAGAAGCTATAAAACAAAAAAACATGAAAAACTATATAAAGAGTATACAGGAAATTTTCGTCATATGATGAAAGATTAATTTGAATCAAAAAGACCTCCAGACTGAGACAGAACAGACAGCAAATAGAAATCAGGGCAGAAAAAAAAAATGTTGCCTGCATTACAGAAAAAAAAAAATAGTGGCAACAATTTAATTTTCAGTAGCAAATAACACATACTGTGTGTTGTAATAAAGGAATGTAAAGGTGTAAGAAAAGTCTTAAAAGCTCAAGATTTGCTGAAGATGTTCTTGAACCACAATTAAATCTTGAACCTGATAGTGAAGAGCTGGTGATCTGTCAGTTTGGTTTTGTTGAAGCAGGGATGTAGCTAAGCTGCAGAACAGTAGTGACAGTAGTAATTGTGAATAAACGTGAGCATCAAGTCCATAGATATAAAACTCAGGTATATCTGAGTTTGGAAGCATAAACACCAGGATTTAATACATTCAAGATGCTATAATTACTTTCATAAACAGACTAATGTTAAGATCATTGTAACCTGTGCAGGCCTAATACTGTTTATTTTATCTCAATGAGAAAATTGAAGACAAGAGCAGGGACACGTTTACTGTGCAGACCTCTGCAACTGAACTTGACATTTTTATTACTTCTTCTAGATTCATGCACAAATACTTGAAATTACATTACATTATGGCTTTTTTTTGCATTAAGATATACACTGGGGTATAACTGGCAAAGTCAAGACTAATACGGCTTTACAACATTTCAGGTCAGTAATTAACCTGATTATGTATGTACTAGTTTTGGTGAAAGAAAAAATTAATTACATTACTGTGGTTAAAAAAAGCTGAAGAAATTAAACAACCTGATATTTTAGATGACAATATCGTTACTTTTCTTTCTCATTCAGCAGCTGCTCCATGATTTATTATTTTGATTTGTTATTAAAGAGAAAACCCAGCAGTTTTTTCATTGCTACTGAGTAAAAACTCTTACAAGGAGTACTTAGTCTGGTTCAGGTATATTAGCCTTAAGATAAAGTTGCTGTTTATTTAAACTGGACAAAAAGTGATGCCAGAAACCAAGCATTCTGTCCTATGATATAATGTCTCAGACAAAACTCCTGGTTCTTCACAAACATTAATTAAACTGCACTTTCTATTGCAAAGTGAGCAGTTTTAGAAAACAAAATATTATTTCCAAAGTGTCTATAAAGACATTTATTAGTACAGCTGCAGAAAAATGAGCCAAAAAAATTCCTTCTCAGGCCTTCTTGTTTTAGAATCCTCAGTTTGTGCATATTAGTGTCTCTTCCACATGTTCCCAAGCCCCCCCACATCCTCGCTCACATGTTTTTAATGAATGCTTCAAGAGATTTGGATGTGGTGCTGCTTCTGATTCCCAGTGGTGAGACATAACAATCCAACTCCCCACCTCCCACGACCACAAAAATAACATGGTTGAGAAAAAGAAATCAATTTCTATTTCATATACCATTATAAACACATGTCTTTAAACTGCTAAGAGGACCTTACAAAACCCAAGGTAAATCCAAGGTATTGATGTTTTGTATAAGACTGATTGACATCAGTTAGAATAATGGGTATTCCAACAAAAGGCATGTGCTAAAAAAGCTCTGGGGAAAATGATGAACCATTGAAACTATTAAAAGTTACATAATTTTCATACTTTAAGTTGTTCTGAATAGCAGCATCTGCAAAATGACTTTAATGTAACTGAATCCTATTTTCGTAACCTATCCAAAGTGTGTCATTGTTTGCCAAGTAAGAACCCCAGCTGTGAGGAAAATAACTGTCATTATGCATCAGCGAATCCTGCATCTCTGTGCATCTGTGTGCAGCTGACCACTAATCCAGACAGCAGAATTGAATGTTCAATCAAGGTCGAATTTATTCATGAAAATTTTAAAGAAACAAGTTTTAACCTATAAAATACATGTATATCTAATAAAGGGTAGGAAAAAAACAAAGTAAAAATAGTGACAAGGAATTATATTGTCAAAAGTTTCACACTAAATTCAATAACAGGAAGAAAATCACAACTTAAAATACTATCATCGGGAAAATACATGTCTTATGTCAGTTTTTACTTACTGTCAATAATGCCGTAGTTTTATGAAAGTACTCTACTGCCTCCTTGTGGATAAAATGTGTACTACAACAAATGTGTCCAACTTGTAGAGACTTTTAATGAAAAAAAAATATCTCAGAATATAAGGTTTAAAGGAAACACTCTTCCACCAACGACGCATTTTTTTATGGTTAGAGACTTATCAAAATTATTATCAAACTTACAGAACAAAAGTTTTATGAATATGCACATTTTGATGAAAAAGTAATATGGTCTATTTGGCCAAAAATAACTATATAAGCAAGAATTATTAAATATTTGAATGGCCATATTGTAGTGATTTTTTTTCTTTCTGTGCTGTTTTTGCCCTATGAATTAAACTGTTCTCCTTTTACTTTGCTTTTTAAGGGGATTGTTTGTCCTATCGCGGCACCAGTAGAGACTCTTCCTGTTAGAGTACACATCAGGTTAGCGTGTTAGCGGTTTCTCTGAAGGTCGTCTGACTAACTGTGGGTATCTTGAAAATAATTTAACTAAATTTTTTTCTGTCATTTAATTTTTTAAACAAATTTCCATGTCATATTGAAGCCGAATGTTACGATTTATGTACAACTTATATTGATTTTGCCGCAGTTCCTCCTTGACGCGGTCTGGTTAGCCGTTAGCTCTTTTTGACCTAGCTAACACTGGCCAATCATTAGCTAAATGCTAATTAAAAAGCGGCTTCTTATATGAAATAACGAACTCTAATTGCTTTATTTTACATACAGACATGTTTATGATTAATAACTAAAACATAAATAATATGCTAAGTCGTTGTTTCTCCGTAAACGTATCGGTCAGATATTGTTGACCTTTTTTTTATAAACCCAGTCTTCGATGCTCAATTTATGTATTTGAGTAGTGTGTGTCTAGTTTGTTAAAAATACGTTGATTCTTAGTTGAAAGTTTCACCTTGAGTTAAATATTGGCTTGTTGTAATTGCTGACATGACTTGGCAACAGCAGTTAATGGCGATCTGCCTACTGTTAACACGAATGATAGTCATTGAGCTTTTGAGGCTGTGAAGAAAACCTCTCATTTAAAGTAAAGTTCATATTCAGCTGTGAAAATAAATTATTAAAAACTTTAATGCTGAGCAACTTGGTATGATTTTTTTTATGCCTACATATACAAAAACTTAGAGCCGTTTGAAATAACCTTTGTATTAAACAGATGTGTTTTTGATAGTAGATATAAGGCAAACACTTGAGGGTTAGTTTTAATTTTACAACCCTTTTAATTAGACGCATATTAAACGCAAAACACCAATGTCACTAAATTGGCAAGTTTGAAAGTAAAACTAAAATACATTACCCTGTTAAGTTAAACATTTCTTAATATATGACCAGTTTAAAAGCTTATTAAATCACCAAAGGTCTGAGCAGTGAATCTAAAAAAGAAAGATACACTGAATGGAGAGATCTTAACACTGAGAACCAAAGCCAGAAAAGATTTACTAGAAATATAAAGATAATAAATAGGATTGAAAGAAAAATATAATGAAATATTGAATACTGTTATACATGTTGATAGATTATGAAAAGTATTTAGATGGGTTTAAACATGCTATATAAAATATCTTTCTATTATTATACTGTTTATCATGAAACATTGGTATGATCCACCAACACATGTAGAACAGACGGAGACTTAGAAATCTAAATTCATTGTTCGTCATTAGAGAGTGAGGAAGAGTTAATGAACCGGTCAGAATAATACATCTAAAAATGTAACTAAAAGAACTTCTAAACCAGCTGCAATCATCTGCAACTTATTCTAAACACCATGAAATTAGCAAACGTTATCCCACTCTATAAAACTGGAAACAAACAGCTCTTTACAAACTACTTTACTGAGGCACTTTACTACCTCAGTGCTCTGAAAGTTTAGAATGGCCTTTTATTAACCAGTTGGATAAAATAATTTGCAAACACAACCTACCCATAAAAAGTGATGAAAAATTTGGAGCAAATAGCTCAGCAGCAGAAGATCTTACCAGGGAGCGCTGTCCTAATGGTTAGAGTCGTGTGCTTGTGCTCTGAGGAGGTTGCAAGTATCCGGTTGGATCCCCTCAGCCTCTGCTCCCACTCTGGGTTCCTGAGCAAAACCCTGGATAAGAAAAATAGTTGTTAGTTGCAGCCCTAAGCTCGGTAGAACGTGTTGGCCAATGTGTTTAGCTGGTGCCTCTGATTAAGATATATTAGTGTATAAATTAGTGCTTATTTGTTTGTTTTTTCATTGCTGAGAAACAAATTAATTGTTATGGTGGAGTTTTTTTTATTATTATTTATTTACTGGGAAAAATATAAGAATTGCTCGTTAACATGTCATGATTACCATCTTGGCAGGGTGACTATAGTGGTTCACTAACTTATCATATGTTGCATTTTGTCTTTTCTCCCAAACAGTTGATCCACCATGTCTCTGCCAAAGCCAGTGATGAGGGGACTGTTGGCGAAGCGCCTGAGGTTCCATCTGCCCATTGCTTTTACGCTCGCCATAACAGCAGCAATTGCGTTCAAGGTGAGAACAAGGCACTAATACAGCCAGACTTCGGTTAGTACTGTAATGCTAGCTATGATCGACTATGTTAAAATTTGTTGAGTACTGTCAGCTTCTCCTAAAAGTATGCAGACCTAGCTATTGATTTGCTGAGTTCAAGTCCTACAGAAAAGTCAGGCAGATAATGCTTTTGGTTTTCCTATAAGCATATGTGGAAAAAAAAATTTCAATCCACACATTGTTCATTTATGAGCTATTTTTCCTTTAGCACCATTCAGATTGTTTAATTTTTTCATTTAAACTGCAGCACTTCCTACAAGAAAAAATGTTCCATTAATTTTAAAGACGTTATATAAGCTGAACCGTGTGAGAATGTGTGTCAATTATAGAATGTTTGTAGAAAAACACAAAAAACAAGAACATCTAGTTCTGTTTGGTTGAAATGAACTTAGACAACTTTTATTATCATTTTGCATACACACTTTATATACAAAACAAAATTTCGTTTTATACAACATTTCCATTTCATAAACTGCAGCAGTGATCAAATGTAAATGGTGTGGGAGAAAAAACATGGTGCAAAAACGCAATGAGGTGGAAGTTCAGAGCTCTTTAAGACAAATATATATTAGGGTTGTCACGATACTAAACTTTTCAACTCGATACCGATACTAAGGAAAATATTCGATACCCCATACCATTTTCGATACCACGAGGATAAAAACAAAGACTCCAAAATAAATAAAATACAATAAATAAATACAATAAACAATAAGAACAATATTTTGAGGTTGTTTGCTGTGCACAATATTAAGCAAGCTTGATAAAAAAAAAAACGTATAAAATTTAAATTAAGTGTTCCTTCCTTGGCTATGCTTTGCACACATAACAGTGACACTAGCCAAACCGGTTAAGAAACAAAAATAATTCTCAGCAGCTGCACCTGTTACAAAAAAAAGTGTTAAACTGAAAAGTGCACAGAATTATTCAATCACACAGTGTTCTGAAAGTGCATTTTCCTCTATTCTGCACTTTGGATGAATGACTGTTTAGGTGCCACTGGTGGTGGTACTGTATCGATACTTTTAAAAACGAGTATTGTATCCGGATACAACGTTTCAATATCAATACTTTTTTGAGTGTCGATACTTTTGACAACCCTAATATATATATGTGGTGAAATATGCAGTAGAATGTAAATATTTAGCAACAACCGATATTTACTCCAAATTATAGATGTCAGTAATTACAAGTGGTTGATTTATTTATTTTTTTTACTAAATTAATGGAATTGTTTTCATGTAAAAAAAAAAAAGTGTCTGTGAGTTTTGCTGATGAGTAGCAAAGCAAGAACAGCTATAATAAGATCCAGGTGGCAATTTGAAGAATTCAGCATGACTGCTGGCTTCTTTTGTATTTTGTGTATTAGATACCTTGTCAGTTATTGATCTAGAAGTTTTTCACTTTATAGATTGAGATCATAGTATATATATCATTGTCAAAAGTAAAAAATAAATTGTGAAATCTCCTGTTTCCTACAGTTTACAGTGACTGAGCCCAGGAAAAAGGCATATGCTGATTTCTACAAGCAATATGACGCAGTCAAAGAGTTCAACGCCATGAGGGAAGCTGGCATCTTTGAGAGTGTGCGGCCTTCTGGAGAGTAAAGCTTCTGTGAGTTTTTTATGTTTAAAATTGACTTCATATGTATTAAAGTAAAAATTATAATTAGCTGTGTCTAATACTTTTCTAAATTCTTCTTCCAGCTCCCCCGTCCTGTCATTCATTCCTGGTCTGAAGATGGTTTCCCTTTGATGCTTACTGATCACATGTGAACATCTCTCTGCTGTTTGTTCCTCCAAATAAAATATTCTATTAATGTAACTGTTCCTGCGTGATAATTTTAAAAGTTGTGCCAAAATAATCTATTCTCTGCATAGTCTTTGATATGTTGAAAGATTAGTATTCTTTTGCAGTAAATTAAGTGTTTTAAAACAAAGCTATATTGTATCTGGCTTAGTACTTGATGCCCAAAGTTTGCTATAAATAAATCAGGTAATGATTTGGATACCATTGGTATAAGTATATATTTGCATGGCGCCCTCTGCTGTTGGCATCATGGACTGCATGCTTTGTTCGCACCGCCTCCGGCTTCCTGCCCACCCCTCAGCACTTCCTGGTTCTCTCAGGTGGACGATAGAGCGGTGCCAAACGCTCTGTCAAACAAGCCTTAAGTTGCCCAGACACAGCGAGAGGATGTACCTGGAGGCGTGGATACCACAGCCCGAAAAAAACAATTTACTGCGTAAACCCATTTTTTCAGAATGATAAAAATACACGGTGTTTTTTACGGTAACCGAGCAGCAGCGGGAGAATCGCATCTGTGAAGCAGCGCGTTAGCCGCCGCTGTTAGCAGGCTAGCAGGCGGCGACCTGCTACTGTTAGCTTCGACTTGACGTTGTCCAGCTCGGTTCAAGTTTAACTCCAGACCTGAATTAGAAGAGTCCAACTGAACTGAACGGAAAAACATGGAAACCAAGGAGAAAGTACAGATGAGGAATAACCCCCGCAGGTAAGTCTAATAATGAACGCGGCTTAAAGCTTATCAATTCTATGCATTTTTCTAAACGTTAGCCTCGCGTTATACTGAAAGTTGACATACGATTCAATATCTGTTAAAACCATTTGCAACTTTTATAAGAAGAAATTAAACAAGAAATTTCTCCTTCTTTATAGTTTTGGCGTAAAGCTTAAATAATAATCTAAATTTATAATTGTTGCTTAAGTCATTTGGTTCAATTACAGGTGCTGTTATCAGTTACATGTGCCTGAATGTTTTATATGAAACTTTAACATGTTTTATATCGCATATTTCAATATAGAAGCCCTTAATCTGTATTTGAAGTAAAAGGTTTGGTTTTCAGAAAAAGAAATCATTGTTTCTCCTTTGATCATTTTCTCCTGGCCTATTCTAAGTTTAAGGAATATATGTTCATTTTAGACAGTTAGCTGATCCGTTTTCTGCTTAAAGAGGGTAATTTAAAAAAAACATGTAATGAAACATTAATATTTTTATGCCCTTGCATCATTTAGAGTTGCTGAATTTTCTTTTTTCTCCAAAGCAATGTTAAACATGAATGCATTCACATACCTGAGTATTTGATCAAGATTAAGATGCTTTTGTTGGTCTGTGTTTTAAATCTCAGGGCTTGTTGCTATCAGAGGTCCCCTAATCTAATTAAATAACTTAATCCCCTCTAAATCTTTCTGAAAGCCGCCTTAATCCACAGTGGTATTAGAGAATCATCTAATCTGCTCTGTAATTAGAAAGTTGTACCTTAGTGTGAGGTGCTGATACAAATGAGGTTAAGAGACCAAATAACTGGTTTTGCAGCAGGAAAATAAGGTCAACAGCTGTTAAGATATTTATAAATTATATGATTAATAAAAGTTTTTCATCTCTGTCATGTTGGAGTAATATTTTTCGTTTTACTTAGATTTTGATTTTTGCATTTACTCACTTTGTTGTATCTTCCCACAGTTTTACAAACTGGGCCATCAAATGATTCTGTAACCTGTAGGCAGAAGATTGGTAGTTCCAGTCACTGAGTCATTTGTTCACTTTAAATGACTCCACGCTCCAACACACCTGTATCAATAGGTTCAATAAACTCCTTTGCATGCACCCCCAGATATAGATAAGCCCCCAAACCACCCATTGTTAGGATTCTGGTTTGTCAAAGTCAGAAAACATGTTAAACATGACAGACACCAGCCCTGGAGGACTGGAAACACCATCTGGCTCTGAACTGACTGTGGTGGTAATTGTTTGCCAGGCCAAACATCCAATTAAAGTTCCAATTAAGCCATTACTAAGGCACTAGGGTCAAGTTTCTATACGCAGGCAAAAAGGCGAAAAGAAGTTTCAATATATTGATGATGGTTCTGAATGGTTTATTTTCTATTTTTGAGTACAATTAAAGAGTACAAACTTCTTCTTTTGTTCTACCTCTCTTGCAACCATAGACTTGCAACCCAAAATGCCTGCTGGTCCTTTCACAGGCCCCTACACTTATAGAAAGTGGACTGATCCACATCACTTCCTGTCATACCTCAGAACAAACACAAAAATAGGAAAAATAATAAAACAAAGATAAATAGAATTAACTATTATTAACCTGCAAATATACTCTGTACATAATACAAACAATTCAAATGGATAAAAAGAATAAAGAATAAATAGCTCCAGCACTGACTGTATTTTAATTTAGGATGACTGAAACTGTCTATGAACCAATCAGAATAATACACAGTTTAATCTATTATTGGTATAAAACAACTCTGTTTATAATATATTCACATATTTTATGCAGTTTAAGTGCATAATTCTGTAACTTTTTTGTCTTAGTTTTTGTTGGAGCAGGAGTCAAAGGTGATGAAGTGCAGCGGGAGTCCGTCCACTTCACTAACTGGAATTGAGCTTTGCTTTTTCCCAGATTCAAAAGGTTTTAGCTCCAGTAATACAACAGTAAACATAATTGTAGGAGCCTACGATCTCAAAATATACTAGCTTATTGAAGCATGCAACTATGGAAAAAGAGCTCTAAAAGTCAGACTCTTGAACCATGGTTTCTGGGAAATGTAGGAAGGGGGAAGCAGGGCTGACTTGCATTTAAAGATTAAAGGTAACCTTTAAATCGGGAAGGGTGAAGGTTATGTTTTATTTTCCTTGCCTGTATTTCAAATAGGCAAAACAAAGAATTAACCAATAAATTTTAATATTTTCTGATATGAAAGGCTATATATATATATATATATATATATATATATATACTCCTGCATAGAAAGTGTCATTAGTTTGTTCCACTAGCTATAGTGTGTTTTTTTTTTTTTTTTTGTTCTTTAGACTGATATGTTAAAGTTGATTAAAAAAGATGTAAAAGAAAAGTTGGATAAATGGTTCCCAATATTTGGTTGCCACAGCTTGTACGCATAGAACGCATTACTTTGAGTTTTAACTAATACATTTTCAGACTGGTACACTGTATTAGAAAAATAAAAACCTGATGAGGCCATCCCTTAGTTTGATCATCTTTGTTTTGACTGTTGTGTTAGTTGTAGTCGACCCAGTTGAAGTTAATTTTTTTTTCTACTGCTGACCTGCTTAACTATACTGTTATTAGATAAATTCTATTTTAAGTTAATGTAAAAGTTTCTCAGCCAACTTTTTAAGACGGCAGAAGAGGAACGGCAGAGCCACTGTGAGTGCAGCTGTCAGGCTTCTGTGTGATTTACTGCCTGGTTAGTGCGAGTTGGTTCTGCTGGCCTGTTGGGACCCTTCTCCACTGCCACATGATAACATGAGAGTTTATCAAACATGATGGGTGACAGTTATACAAACACAACTGTGGCCACTCGCTCTGTGCTCCAGCAGTGGTTCTGATTCTTTGCCCCCATTACCGCCTAATGTTAGACGGTATACACAGATACAGGCAGCCATTGACTGACAGTCATTTAGATTTTGCTGTTGGGTTTTGTTTCTTTTTTTATACACAGCATTTTTTAACAGGGTTTAAACTGGGGCAAAAAATATGCAGTCGTTAATGTTTGCCTTTCTGTGAACAAGCCTTGATTTTTGTTCATGTGGTAAAGACATTTAGTTTGTTCAGAATGGGAACCAGTTTTTAGCTGAATTTGCTGAGTGTGTTTGGCAGTAGGAACTAAGGAGTTCCTATTCTGCTCCCCTATCAGGATGATGCCTGTTAAAAAAACCACAGCTCTGCTATCATGTCTACTCAGTCATCAGCTGTTTCCTTACCCAGGCAATGCAAAAGTAGCATTTTAACTGTATCTGTTTATTTAAATGAGCATGCTTTTTAGCACTGCTTCAAGCATTAGCTAAAAATTTTGCAAGTTGATCAGCAATTATTGCTCTGACTTAATTTCTCTTTTTATTTAAATAATACATTTATTGTAAAGTATAAGTAAGGCCCTTTGGTACTGTTTGCAGGTAAAACTTAAAGTCATCTAATGATGTTGTGACTACATTTATAACATGCATTTTTTTATGTCTGCAGTTCTATGGATTACCGGAATAAAAAGCATCAAACCTAATAATTACATGAAATGTCCTTAATACAAATAAATCATTTCCATGAGGACATTTATTAGAGTTTTAAAAGTGTGTGTTTGTTTCTTTTTCATTACCCTTTTTTTTATATTCTAGAATAATTCATTAGTTTAGTTAAATGTAATTTATGCTGAATAATTCAATATTACTCGGGGATAAAACTATATGGTTCATTATGTAGCACACTATACGGCGTTTATTATGGGTCAGTAAAAAAAAAAGGAAGGAGTTTCTACCAGCCTTCCTGAAAACCAGCTAGAGTCCTTTACCTGCAGCTGACATTTTTCATGTGTAGGCTTCAAAATCAAAAGTCGTTCATCTATGGTTTCTGGGCAAATCATAATACCAACCAGGCTTGGCTGAACACCGAGGGTTTTGACCAAAACATAATCTTCTTTGTCCGTTGTGAACTTTATTGTTGAGGTACTATGTGGAACAAGTTGTTTAGTTTTTATATATAGTATCGATTCATTTTTTTATTTATTTTTTCCTCCAGTCTATTTTTATCTACCATATTTGCTTCTGGACTCCCATGCTGCCGTGGTGCTAAACCTATTTTGCCCTCCTACCTCGCTTCCTTTAGCCACTACCCTTTTCCCGCTGGCACACACACACTCGCGTAAACAGTAGGCAAGACAGACATGGAGGAGATAGCGGAGGTGAAAGAAGAGGTAGGCAAGACAGACGTGGCAGAGGAAAAAGAAGATCATGTATTCTTGAGTATCGAAAATGATCGAAACGTTGGGTTTGGAAATTGATACTGAATCAAATCGCCATAAATGATTAGGGAACAGTTACTTTAACCTAAATATTTTTTACCATTATGTTCTTTAAGTAGAATATCAGTTGTGTTTGGTTGCTGGATTATTCAGTTATGCAAACCCAGTTTAAGAAATGGTTGTAAAAACATTTGCAGATTATCTTTTTGTATGAAAACGGTGTTGCTAAGGTTGCATAGCATATAGACAAACAAAAAAAGTTAAAGAAATTATTTAAATGTAGCTTCTTTAAGCATTTGGTATGTCCCCCATTTGTTTTTTGCAAGAGTTGAAAGAGTTCATTTGAAAAGCAGATCAAGATTTTCTTGTGGGCTCCTGTGGTCAAATTAGCCTTTCAAGGCTCCTGTCTCTGTGCTTCTTTCGACCCAGAGTTGATCAAGACTGGCTTGGCTTCAGGCTGGATTGGGCCGTACAGAGTCTGAGTTGTGGTTCAGAGGTTTCACAGGAAGGCCACATATTTACTGAGCCATGATCTCGCTTTAAAGAGACCGTTTTGACAGCTTCTATTATTCACAGTAATGACTGCAGGTTTAGTTGAATTTAAGAAATGCATTTGAGTTTGGGATTACATTATCTATTTATTAAATTTAATGTCCTTCTGTATGATTTAAACCAGGTCAGATAGCAAGGATAAATAATTAGATTAAAAAACATAATGTTTAAGAGTTTGAGTCTAGAGTCTCAATACAGTCATTAAACTGTCATGACAATATAAATGAGTGAAGTAGATGCATCCAAAGCTACATAATTTCCTCCCATGTGAGCTGGCATTTCCAAATGCAGATATTCATCATCTATTAAAATGTGCCAGTAATGGCTGACTAATACCGAACACGGCAGGCTTGTGGGAATGTTTTAGTTGAACTGGTGGTGGGCTAATCCACCAACACCAACGTCCCTGGAGGCCCAACTCAGCAGTTTGTTTTGGCAGTTTGAACTAATTGGATATTTCCTCCTCCTTTCCTGCTTTATCTGAACACAAACCTGTCACAGTCGACATCTGGGAAGTTTTTAGATCTATTTTGGGCTCTTAGCTGAAGTATTTTTGTCTGGGATGAAGAGGTTTAAAATCTGAGCTTCTAAGAGGAGATCTGCGAAAATAAATGATAGTTCTAAGTCTTGTTCATGTTTTCTGTGTTTTCCGTCTTCTCTTTAGATTTAACTCATGAGAAATTCATGTTTAATTGATTTATTTTGCTGTTTAAATATTAAGGTTAGGAGGAAAAGTCAACAAACATTTTATTGCTTCTGTGTCTCCTTTTCCAGCAGCATCTCCTCACCAGCATCTATCTCCCACTTATCATTTCAGGCAGCTGAAGAAGCTGAGCGAGGACAGCCTCACCAAGCAGCCAGAGGAAGTCCTTGATGTCCTAGAGAAGCTGGGTGAAGGGTGAGTCAGTAAGATTATAACTGATTACACAGCCCTGATAAACAATACCGTCTGGATGTCTATATCTACCTGCATTTCAAGGGGATCTAAGCTTTGATGCTGATCTGCCTCTGTTTTCTATTTTCTTTCATAGTCTCTCTTTTATTTCCTGCTCTGTTTTTCTGCCTCATTAATTTCTCCCTCCTCGTTTGCCAGTAAGCTCCGCCCCCTGTTGTGCCTGTCAGTCTAAACAGCGCCTCTTCATATCCTGTTTCTCAATGCTCTTCCTGTTTTCAGCAGCTGATTAAAGCTGTGCACGCGTGTGTCACAACTGATGCTAGTAGAAAGGAACGATTATCCATCAAATCCTGTCCAGTTTCTTCCGTCCTCTCTGCTCATTAATCAATCATTAGCAGCACCTCGCTTGATGTGACTTTGGCTTATCTAAGTTGTGTTTATAGTTTGTTTTTAAAACAGTTTCCACCAGTGGAGAAGATTGAACATCAAACAAAAAAAAAATGCAGTCCATTCAGGTCCAGACAGCTGATTGCTTTTAGTCACTCCTGCTTAAAAGAAAAGCAAAGTAAAATGTGAGAGTAGGTAACACTAATGAACACAAACCTATCTGCAGTGAGAGGTGGACTGGATCATGAATTGTATGTATTTAACTGCTCTAAATGCGTTGACTTCCCTTTCTCAACCAGAGTCCTAATTGTGTTCAAAGTAGTTAAAAGCTGAATGAAAATGTGATCTGATTGAAAAGAGTTTGAGAAAAATCAGCTGTGGCTTTAGACAATTAGCATTCCTACATGATTTGTTCCAAATAAGATATGGTTTTAAACTTTGTTTGATGTTTACTGACTGATAATTTGGTTTACTTGTCCAACCGGTTCTTGGTATTTATAGTTGAGATCAACAGATAAAAACATCCTGAAGAAACCTTTGTATGTCTGCAGGTCTTATGGTTGTGTCTTTAAGGCCAATCACAAAGAAACCGGGGAGATTGTTGCTATCAAACAAGTTCCTGTGGAGTCTGATCTGCAGGAGATCATCAAAGAAATCTCCATCATGCAGCAATGCAACAGGTATGTATAGAGCTGGTTACTGCATCCCTGTGGGATGTAGAACCTTATAACAAAGCAGAAATCAGAACATTTAGAGACAGACTGTATAAATAAATCATCTCTGTGTTCAGTCCCCATGTAGTGCGCTACTATGGCAGCTATTTCAAAAACAGTGACCTGTGGATAGTCATGGAGTATTGTGGTGGAGGATCAGTATTGGATATCATCCGATTACGTAACAAGACGGTAATGTAACACTCCTGTTCTGCTCACACACTTACACCAAGGTGTCACGTGAAAAACTGGGTGAAAGAATGTAAAGAACAAGTGGTTCACAACAAGATTTTACTTTATTTTTTATTTTTTGCCTTAAATCTTTTTAACCTTTAACAATTTCAGTGGTGTGTTTCTACTTGAAATCATCCAATTAGATGTAGGTGATTTAAAATAAGGTTTTTCCAATATAGTCAGTAGTTTGTTGTATTTAACCCTTTGTAGGATTAAATATTCTGCTAAAAAACAATTATAGAGACAATATAAAGATAAACCTAGTCACGAGACAAACAGCTAATCAGCTCACAGAAAGTCCCTGCACTGTAGCTTACAATGCACCCACAACATAGAATATGACAGCACCACAGTGGCAGAGGGGACATATTTAGGACTGATGGAGGACAAAATACTTTTACTATTACATGCCATGCAACCTTTTATATTATACTGTTTAAAACAGCCAATCTTTTAACTATCCATTATGTCACAGCACACTGCTTTTAAAAAGGGGTAAAGTCCAACCTGAGACAAAAGGGAAAATCATGTCATTTTGTCTTTACAATGCCCATCTAAAACTTTACCAATCACTAAACTGCTCTTCACTGCAAGAAAAATGTCGACTCTTTCGAGAACAAGCAGCAAGAACTCTAAAAGACATTGATTATAGCAGGAAATGGTGTAGTTTTTTTCTTGGAGCAATTGGATCAAGAAAAGAATGTATGCTTTTCTTTGAGTGTGTAGCAGGTTTAAGCTTCTAGCTCAGGGACCCAGGGTGACAGTCTGTTTCAGAATGACAACCTCTCCAGCATGCAAATTACTTGCTGTCTAACCTAAAAGCCAACCCAAAAGCAGAACATTTAAAGTTGCAGAAAACAGTCAATGTATTGGTTTTGTAACCCCCAAAGCAGCCCTGTTGTTTCACAGCAGATGAGGACTCCTGATGATATAAATGGGTCTGAGTCTGGTTCCTTTTAAAGCTGAGAACAAGAAATCATTGTGTCCCTAAAAATGTTTGTCTGTGAATGGATGGGCAGTTTGAGATACAAAGATCTCAAAGGCTTTTACATTGCATTTAGAAATGTTTATTAAAGGACACTTTAACTCTGTAACTTCACATGATTAAGTTACCGTCTCTTATGCAGACATATTTGTCAGGTAGAAAAAGTTTCATCAGGAATTAATCAGAAGTTTAGCCTATAGGTGTTGCTTTGAAATTGAGGTTAGTTAACAAAGTTGAAATAGATATTGTAAACCTTATTCTCCCTTCATATGAATTTGGATTTCAGTAGTAATTCTCAAGGCTTTTAAAAATATTTTTTAATTACATTACTTGTTCACTTTATTTGAAATAGTTCCTTTACTAACCCTAATTTTCTGCAGGATCCAATCCTCTCGTTTTCTTTAATCACTCTTTGTGTGTCTGTTTATGCTTTATAGCTCTCAGAAGATGAGATTGCCACTGTCCTTCACTCAACACTGAAGGGTCTGGAGTATCTTCACTTCATGAGGAAAATCCACAGAGATATCAAAGCTGGAAACATTCTGCTGAACACAGAAGGTCAAGCCAAACTGGCTGACTTTGGAGTTGCTGGACAGCTTACAGTAAGCAGAAGGCTCAACTCGTACTTGTCCCCCACGTTTATTGGAAAGTTAGAGAAAACAGACTTGATCCTGACTGATTTTCTACATATTAACTATAATATAGTTTGTTTTAAACATTTTCCTGTTATTTATCCGGATAGTTAAACATCCAGCCATCAGGGCCCAGTTTTAGAAAGTGAGATTTATCTATTCCGAGTACAGAGCATTTAACCTGAGTCATCTTATAATATTGAGGGTCTTTGGTCTTAAAACTGTGATATCAATCAGCTGACTCGACTGTGAGTAAAGTAAGCCCCATTTTTAGGGTGTCAATAAAACCTAGCAAACACTGTCAAATGTGTGACAGACTTGGGATGACTTTAGGAAATCCTACTACTGAGCAGAGTTGGATTAATTTATCTCTGAATGCCGGCTATCGAGCTTTCTGAACCCTAAAGTCCTGGGTATGTAGGGATTTACCCCTGAATTAGTTCTGAGTTCTTGCTCGGATATAATAAATGGCACTTTCCCTGATGCCATTAAAACTTCTTTAAAACGGTTAGGTTTAGGGTAAATCATCCTGTCTTCTGCTTTTCCTCTGTAGGACACCATGGCAAAGCGAAACACAGTCATCGGCACACCGTTCTGGATGGCTCCGGAGGTCATTCAGGAGATAGGCTACAACTGTGGGGCTGACATCTGGTCCTTGGGAATTACAGCCATAGAGATGGCTGAGGGCAAACCGCCCTATGCTGACATACATCCAATGAGGGTGAGTTTCGGTTGGTTGTCTAAATTAAGGACAAAAATAAAAAGACTTTGTGGATCCTGAAGGAAAATTAAATATTAAAAAACAACCTAAGTTCAACTGTCACACTAGCAACAATGTTTTAATGAGTATCTTTAATATAAGGTATTGAATAAGAATTGCTCAACAACTTCTCTTCTTGCAGGCAATCTTCATGATTCCAACCAATCCTCCCCCAATGTTTCGCAACCCAGATCATTGGTCACCAGATTTTCTAGACTTTGTCAAAAAATGTTTGGTGAAAAACCCTGAAAATAGGGCAACAGCTACACAGCTGTTACAGGTAAAGTTCTACATTATGTTAGCATTTTAGCACAATGCTAAGTTACTCAGACAGTTTTTACTTTACTCACTAGTAGTGAAAATAAATGTGTTTGGAAGAATTTCAGACTTGATTGTAAGTTTCTTTGTTCCCTACAGCATCCTTTTATCAAATCAGCCAAACCCAATTCCATCCTGAGAGCCTTAATCCAAGATGCAATGGAGATCAAACTAAAGAGGCAAGAGGAGGCAGAGCAGAGAGAACAAGACGCTGAAGACGAAAACAATTCGGTACATGTTTCATGTTTTTTTTTTGTTTTTTGTTTTTTCATGTTCTCCCCATAGGTTTTAATTTTTTTTCTTATTTATCTGTAACTTGGGCGCTGACTGACCCACTGCATGTACATTCCAGGATGAAGACGAGGTTGATCAGGGGACAATGGTTCGGGCTGGAACCGGTGATTCTGGAACTGTTCGGGCTGCTGGCTCATTGGCAAGTTCACTAAGTGGTACCATGATCGAGCACGAGGACACGGGAACCATGCAGTCACAGCTTGGCACCATGGTCATCAACTCAGATGATGAGGATGAGGAAGAGGCTGGTACTATGAAAAGTAAGTTCTTCTTTACAAATTGCACCAATGTTCATAAAACTTTTGTTTCCAGGTCAATATAAATTGGCATCAATTTAATCAGATGACCTAGTAAGTATTAGAAGAAAAGCAATAAGCTGTAAATAATTTTCCCATATATAATCATATTTTCCTTTACATTGATATTGCATCATATTTTTGACAGCGTTGCTTTTTAGTAAGACTTAAGTTAATCCATAGCTACTGTTGAACAAATCAACTATTATTAATGTTATTTAATAACTGAACAAGGGCTGAACCAATTAATCACCTAAATCAATCATTGACATAATTGTCAACTAAGTTAGTAACCGATTAATCATTAACTGGACTATAGAGATTCTTAAATATGCCTTTAGCTGACAGAGCAATCCACATAGAGCAGTAATTATACCAAATTGTAAAAATATATATATAAACATTTTGATTAAGATAAAAATACCTTTTTTGTCTGTCAGTATGCTCTATCCTAAACTTTTTAGTTTAACCTTGTTTAATTTTGTAAAAAAATTTCTTTAATTAAACTCTGGCTATGCGATTGTTAATAAATTAATAAAATAATGATAGACAGATTATTCAAAGAGCGAAATAATCATTATTTGCACCCCTAAACTGACTGCCTTCAAGGAAAACTGATGTCTATAGTATAAACTTTTTAGTTTATACTATAGACATCAGGCGATCTATCCACCAGGGGGCACAAGGTGTCCATGACCAAAATGACTGGAGAAATATTTTTGTATTTGTTGATATTATACAAAAGCAAATATTCCTGAATTTTACAGACCTCAGCTTAAGCTTTCAAGAGGCTTATTTATTTATGTATATTGTTAATCTTTCTTACTATAGTGAACATATCTTCGTCAGAAAACCAGACAATGGTTCCTGATGCATTTTGATGTTCCTGAAAAGATATTACTGCTCCAGGGAAATTTAGAGGTTATTCTCAAACAAAACAAAAAAAAACTTAAAATTAATAGATTTTCATTCATACATCTATTTGTTGTTTTTCCAAACTATTTTAATCTAGAACTTCTACGAGTATTGAGCGTTAACGTGTTGAATCAGATCCAAGGTTCGATTTATAACCCTTTATTTGTGCAGCATCCGCCTGGAGTCCGTGGTGTAAGTGTTAGGAGCATTAGATCTCCTAGGTGCTTTTGATTGGGAGGTTTTATTGGAGTTGCATTTTGTTTGTGTGCCGGGAGTCTGTGGGTGGACTTTTTACTTTTATAGGCGTTGAAATTAACCCCAAAGAGAGTATTGCATATGTGGTTGTGTGTAAGTTTGACTAACTGTGACTCCAGGGATGCACGCTCGTGTGTGTGGAAAAAAGAAGTAATTGTAGAACCTAATGATGTAATTCCACAACTCCTACACTGCATCTAATGAGGCTTCTTTATGAGTCAGGGAAGCTTTGTAACACTTACTATCTTAAATAGAAAATATCCTTATTGAAGTAAACGGCATGGCTCTGTGTAATGAGTCATAAATGGTTAAAACCTTCCATCCTAAAATAGCAATAAAACCAACTTCGACATTAAAACACATACATACTAAGGCTGCAAGCAAAGAATCGACTCACAACAAAACTTTGATTGTTTATTAGGTTCAAATTTGTTCAATCCGAGTAATTGAGTACGTTCAAAGGAATTTCTGTCAGTGTTGTAGTTTTATTGCCACCTGCTAGAGGCTGCAGCTCTTCATCCTTAAGCGTATGCTTACTGGTATTTTCAATAAAAGTAAAGCCAAACCGGAAGCATGAATTTATCGAGAGTCTGCTCTGGGATTATCAGAAATTATTGCTGGATTATGCTAAAAACAGAGCTACATCAGAATTACATTAGTTTAATACAGCTGGTGCTATATATAGGTGAATATAATGATTTAACTCATTATTGTAAAAAGTATTTCTTAGCCCCTCATATTCAGATCCTCTAAATATAAGAGAAAACTCATGTTTGCTATGACATAAAAAAAAGGGATTAACAGATGACCATTGATATACGATTGGCTGAATTTAGGTGTACAAGCTGACGTATAACTAACTGGCCTGCATAAAATAACGGGGGGAAGCACAGATTTTAAGACAGGATTTATTTTAAAAATAGAAATTTTCTTACTTTTGGGACAATATAGTCTGACAAAGAGAACATTTATACATGAATAAGCCAGAATGATTTGACATGTAAATATGATTTCCCTATGACTTTAAAGCATGGGGGTGGTCACATCATGCTCTGGAGATTCTTCTCAGCCCATCTTTCTTAAAAGCTCATTAAAAAATATTGCCAAATCTGGAAAAAAATATTTTATATTTACTCTGAGAACTACAAATGAAATGCAAACTGACTTGGCAAGCAGCAAAAGCTATTCTGAAATTGTTTGATAACAAGTTAAATGTTCCACATTGACCAAATCAAAGGATTGATCTCAATCCTGTTGACTTTATTCTTGGACTTTAATAGATCTTTTGACTACTTTGAACCTAAGCAACCTGAAAGACTGTAAGCCATTTTCAATAGAGGAAAATTGTTCTGCTCACATCTGTTTATCGGTTTTCAAACCTATCCACACTAAGAGCTGTAATTTTTGCCCAAGGGGCAATTTGTAAACACAAACCAGAAGCTGAATAAAATGACAGTCTTTCAAAGTTATTATCACTTTATGGTTTTGTTGATTATTTATTTATAAATTTTTTAAAAGTTTTTTTTTTCCAAATTTCTTTTCCAAAAAGCAATTTGATATTGACCACATCAGTGTCATTTAACATCCAAATGCAGAGAGACTTTTCGTAGGCAATTTATATGATGCACTTCTGATGCAAGCATTTTAGAAACGATTATGCATTAAACCCAAATGTCAGTACATTGAACACAAGGACACGTTTATTCAATATTACCTCATCTTGGTTGCATGGGCAATGATAAATCTTGATCTCATGCTAGCTCATTTAGTCCACACACACACACACACACTTCTCCGATCAGATTTCTTAGCATTGTGTTAGCATGGATCTTCTCTCCTTGCTCTTTAAGCTGCATTAACACTGAAACATTTAGAAATCAGAATGACATCAAATCCCCAGATGCTGCTGTTTTGTGTTTCAGTGTGTATTTCTCTGACTTCTCTACAGTAATATTTAGTTATTTTTTGTGTGTAAAGTTTTGTGTGTATCTGTCCCTCTGTGCACTTCCACCAGACTAATGACTCTGATTTGATGGTGCCTGAGCCCTGAGGATATAGAAAGAGGATTAGATCAGACATCGATCCCACTAAAAGTACTAAAAAAATAAAACGCCTTTTAATTTACACTGATTAGCTATTAACCCTCACTCACAATGATTCAGAAAAAAGCATTCTACCTTTGGCGATCTGGACTGCTGCTCCCCTTTACTGTAAATTGCATTAACTCAAAATGCATTCCTATAATCTTCGATTCTTTTTCAAACTAAAATATGAAATTGTTTATTATAAAGAATAAGTGGTTATGAAAACCACACAGTAAAGGTCTGGGATTTGCATCATTTACCTTTTTAGTACAGATTAGTTTAAAGTAATTATAAATAAATCCAATAATTTAATTTCCACATTCAGACTGGAATCTAACTAAGCTCCAATGTGAGATGGGACCTGATCTTTTTGCATTGATCTGTTGGACTCACCTATTCCTAATATGTCTAGTTTGATGAAAACCTCAATCAGTGATTGATTATTGAAAGGTTAATTTATGTCAAAACAATTGAATAATTACTGAAATTATTCTGAGGCATTACAATTCCATGTAATAAATCAAATCTATTTTTAAATTGGCTGTAAATGTTTAACATTTGTTGCATTAGCACTGTTCAAGATAACGGATTCCATTTTTTTTCCCTGATAACTAAAGCCAATTTTAACATGTAGCATTATTGATTTTCAATCAAAGCAACACTGCAATCCAAATAATACTACTCTCTTCAAGTTTACAACTGACCAGTTCTTTCCAATGCTTACTGCTTTAAGTAATGCTTTTGACATTTTGTGGTGAGACTGGACTGAATGAAATAAAGTCAAGGTAACAGATCTTGTTCAGATGAGGAAAATTTCTTTTTATTGCAAATATTTTGGAATTAAAGGAGTGTTCTTATTGCTATGAAATGCCCTTAATGATTTTGATGCTTCTGAAATATAATAGTCCCTACTCTAGTTGGGGTTGGCTGCTTTAGTTTTCACTGCAAAAAAAAACCCTGATCTCCAACAACGAATCATGTCAAAGTTTTGCGAAGTTAGGTAATGGTAGCCTCTCAAGCACATGCTTCATGCAGACAGGTTTCTCACCTACTTGTGAAAATAAGGGGTTTAATGTGTTAGGAAACAGTGTTTCTGCAGCCGTTATGCTCATTAAAATTCAGTGTTACGGCTTAATTTCGGGTTAACAACATTCAGCGTAACTATCCATTACACTGAAATACACTGGCGAGAACCCTGCTATGGTTTTAAAACTTGAAATTCTTGAATGTGTTTTAAACTGACACTTTGTAACAGTTTTTGGTTAGCAGCTTGCAGACTGAAGCGCTACAATTAACTCTGTGCAAACTGAAAGTAACTATGCCAATGCTTCATGCAGGGGTCCTCATTATAAATAATGTAAAGCACTGTATGCTGTTCATCTCGTAGATCTCCTCCTCTGAAAGTTTTATGGTGCTGAATAATAAGATAGGAGTGGATGTCAACATTCTAAAGTTTAGCATTGTTTGGCTTAAACTTATGTTTAGATTGTAAAACTTTTAAAAAAACCTTTAATAGCATACTTTGCTTACTGTGGTTGATAATGACCTTATTTTATTATAGCATGGTGAAAAGAAGAGGTCAAGCTTTTTAATGTGTATGTAGATAGCCTTGGAAACTGCTGTATCAAAAAGGCTTGATGGACCAGTGGAAAGAAAAATAAAATTTCTGCCTGACTTCAAAAAAAAAATAATAAAAATCAACCACTTCAGATTTGCACTTTTTATTTTGAAGGAATTGTACTTTTTTATCTAAGAGAAAGCAAATAGATTAAGTGTATTATCTCCAGTTGTTCACTGTTTAAAGTGATCTTAAAAAGAAAACATTTTTAAGTGTATCTGCCTTTAATTTGAGCAGGTAAACAAGATGATCTGCCAATGGAATGAGTAAAATACAGATGAATAAGAAATATAAATATGCACTTGAAACAAGATAATGGTTTTGCTCTTCTTAACATTGTATCTTATTTCATTGGCATATATTCTTACTTTCCTGCACAAATCTGGGGAACAAACCCTTATTTAAAGCAAAACTGGTTTACTTATATTTCAATTTTTGCAGTGTTGCCATTTTGCAGCATTAAGCTTCTCTTTTATTCACCAGGCTTCCATCTTCCCCCACTGAAACAGCAATGAAAGTAACCATTACATGTAAAACTTTAAAGACCCAAGAGCTACATTTATTAAGGCCCACTAACTTGCTGGCCTTTAGACTTGCTTGGCATGGAGAGGCAACAAGGCACAGCAGGTCATAATTTATAGTGATGTGAAGCCCTGTATGAAAGACCTTTTTCACCCCATAGATAATTGCTGAAGTTACCAAACAACATTAGATACCAAAGTTAAGCAGACATGAGTTCATGGATTTTTATAGCGCTGACCTTTAGTTATCTGATTGTTTTGGGTGGGCGGGAAGCATCTTCACACTGGGAAAAGTATGGCAAGTTTCCTTAACTTATGATTTTTACAGTCTCTGTGTCCGAGGATAACTTTGTCCTTCTGTTGTCAGATGACATAAAACTTAGCCCATTTTTTAATCTTCAGATAGAAAAAATGGCTTTAAATCCAGAAATTGGACCATGACCATTGGATATTTGGTCATCTTAATGAGTCTTTGATGCTGTTTGTTAAACTAGATTCTGACAGAAGTATAAGAATTCAAAGATTCATAAAGCAAAAGAATGTTGATGAAAAATGACAATTAGGTAAATTAAGGCTTATCTTTAAAGTAATGAAAGAACTTTTGAAAGATACATATGAGAAACAAAAAGATTGCTCAGTGATATCTGTGCTCAAGATTTAATTAACAATTAGGCATGATGCGCCATCAAAGTCTGCCTTTTGGTTTCCTAAACCTTTTGAAGAGAAACTAAAAGATTTAATAAAAATATAAAAAGTCTGTATTATTAAGCTAAGATCTAGTTATGTGTTGAATCATTTCTTCATAAAATAACTTAATAAAGTTCATGCCTTTCAAGTTAATTACATTTCAATTTCTTTAATTGTATTATTAGGTCCAAACCTGTTGAAATGCCCCTTGAGAGTCCTTGCATTTGCCTGTTTTCTTTTTTTACCTTCTTTCTAGCAGGGTAATGTTAGATTAAAAGCCTCATAACTAGAACGGTTATATATTTCATCAGGTGTGGAGGATTTCTAAGAATACATTAGTAGTAGAAATTGTAACTGTTTTCATAACATTCACCCAGTGGCTTTCTATTTAGTGATGTGTGAATGACATGTAACACCACAGTTTATTAAAGCCATGAATCCAACACTGAACTGCCCTCACTGATATGCCCCACTGGTGCATTCAAAGGAGAAATTTACTCTACACAGTTTGTGTAGCTGTTTAAACCCCCACATAACCAGGCAAACTGATATAGATGCATCCAAGGTGTTTCTTTATCATAAAGAATACAACTATTTAGATGCCTCTCATTTTCCTGATCTTTTTAAAATTACTTTTAAATTGTTAAAATTATGCTTCACGTGGCAGATTGATTAAAGTCAGTATAGGGAGACACTTTATTTAGTTAGTGTAAAAACCCCAAAACAGCCTGCACATGAAGAGAAGAGGGGCAGGTTGAACTCCTCCCAACCAGAAGGTGGCACACTCATGCACGTCTGCTCTTAGTTTAACCTTCAACTGCAATGTTTGCCAGTGGGTTGGCAGGTCCACCAAGTACCAAAAAGAAAGAAAAAACAAACAAACAGATGAGCTAGTGCCAGCTGTGATTAATAAGTAGCTGCTCAATCATTGAGTTGCACATAAAAAAAAATAATTAATTTTTAACGCTAACCCACTAGTTATTAAAGAGGCTGATAAACCTGCAGTAACACACCTGTGCCACATTACAGTACCGCCTGTCCTTAGCTAACATGATAAATGTTAAGACAAGATTTCAGCTGACTCCTCTGGATGTGTTGTTCAAATCTGAGCCTCTCTCTGATGACTGAGCTCCTCACCCCATCTCTACCGGCCAAGCCAACCTGCTGAGACAGCTCATTTCAGCCGCTTGTATCCTATATAAAAAAACATCCTAAATCCTTAGTCGTTAGTTAAAGTAACTTTAATATCTTACATTTTTTGTCTTTTCCTTCAAAGACTTGTTTTATGTTCTTAAGAATGCAAACATTAGCATTCGCAAGTGCACAATTTCTCTGCATAAACATCCGCTAATCTCTATCTGAGAGATATTTATATCTATATTGAAGTAGTGCATTCTGGTTTTGGTGATTATAGCAAAATAAATATCAATGTATTAAAAAAATGGGTGTATCCCTATTTGAGGGCTGTGCACCTGGATCAGTTTAGTGTGATTATGACTGTGGAGTAAAAAGGTTAATAGTGAAGCAGTATGTTATAATTGCCTAGTGTTTTCTATCCTGTAGTTAATCACCTGAATGGACACACAAATCACTCTGCAGGATTTATTAGATCCAGCTGATACACATTCATTGAAAGGATATTGGGCTCTTTAGTTTCCTGTAAAACCATTTTTTTACCTAATGTAGTTGTTGTTCTAAAAACTTCAAAGTTTATTTCCCCCCCACATTGTCATGTTTGTCCTAATGTTTTATGTGGCCTTCTTCAGTTTATTGTTTTAATATTTTAGCATCTTATTGATCCCTATGAAGGTAAATAGTTGTAAATTGGACCATTAACACTAGCTTAGTGTGCAGTACCCTGCAGCTTCAAGGGGTTGGGTAAATTACTTGCAAGAGTTATGTGTGCATATATATATATATATATATATATATATATATATATATATATATATATATATATATATATATATATATATATGCAAAGCATTGTGCTGCCTTTATTTAGACACTCACTCCAAAGCTAGAACATTGCTATGATATATATTTTTAATTATCTCTTTTTTTTTTATTTTGATAAATGAGCATAGTTCTTGGAAAAAAGACCTTGGTGAAAAACAAAGGACTGAGATACTTTTAGCTGTTATTTATTGTTTTAGTTTTAATAATATACACATTATTACACAGTAAAACAGTAAATTTTAAAGAACTATTTTAATGATACTCTGTACCGTCAAAAATCCCCAAATTGTTTATTCATGCTTGAAAACATTTGTTCTGTCTGGTTTACTGCACCCTCAGATCCTAAAAGCACCTGCTGTTAAATTAATTTACATTTTAAGTCCTACCATAGCTCTTCTAATTAATTAGACGCTCTGATATGACTTTCAGAATGTCGCTTATGTTAAGCACCTTATTTCATTCTTTAAAGGAATAGTACACCCAAAACATGATTAGCCTTCATTTTCTACTCACCCCCATGCTGAACAACACCCTGGAGTACTTTTTTGATATCTCAAATGCATCTGGAGATCTGGGAGGCTTCTTGCTGTCTGCTGACAGTCAAATAATGGAGGTCTACGGTGCCCGAGACAGAAAGGTCCATAAAAGTCCACAAAAACGTGTCAATATTCCTCCATACTGCTCGTCCAATGTATTCCAAGTGTCCTGAGTGGGTAGCATCCAGAATTTACTCGAAACGAAGTCATTTAGAATGTTTTTAGAGCATAAACAGTAGTGTATAGTATTTCCTAAAAGCGTGTTCACGAGTCTACGGAAACCGCGGCAGACCAAACCAGACGAAAGTGCGCATTCAGCTCGGCAAAGAACTCATGCTCTTCCTCAACACTGAAGTCCTCAGACATTTTTCTTTCATTGTTTCTTTCTTTGCACAGGTAAACAGCACATTTCTTCTTCTACGCTTGCATTATCGGCAGAGCAGACGCTGAATGCGCACTTTCATCTGGTTTGGTCTGCCGGCTTCCGTAGCGTCCTGAACGCGCTGGCGCGCGCTTTCAGGAAATACTATATACTACTGTTTATGCTCTAAAAACATTCTAAATGACTTCGTTTCGAGTAAATTCTGGATGCTACCCACTCCGGACACTTGGAATACATTGGACGAGCAGTATGGAGGAATATTGACACGTTTTTGTGGACTTTTATGGACCTTTTTGTCTCGGGCACCGTAGACCTCCATTATTTGAATGTCAGCAGACAGCAAGAAGCCTCCCAGAGCTCCAGATGCATTTGAGATATCAAAAAAGTACTCCAGAGTGTTGTTCAGCATGGGGGTGAGTAGAAAATGAAGGCTAATCATGTTTTGGGTGTACTATTCCTTTAAGAGCAATGCTTCATTGTTGGATTTTTATTACTGTATTGTTTAAGGTTAATAGCCTCATAAAATGATTGAATTTGCATCATGTGCTTTGTATCCATGCAATTTCAAACTTTTAATATAAAGTGCTCTAAAACAAAATCATTGTTTAAATCAAGTCTTTATCCAGTTTTTTAGTCTATTGTTGCCTCTTTTTTTCCAGATAATTCTGGAGATAATAACGTTAGCTAAAAGCATATGAAATGCTACGTTCTGGTACATATTTGGCTCAGCATAACGTTGCAATCTCTTCAGTCAAGTTAATGTGGATTTGGTTGTGTCACACAGGGAGAGACGAGACGATGCAGCCGGCCAAGCCGTCCTTCCTGGAGTACTTTGAGCAGAAAGAAAAGGAAGTAAACAATCACAATGATGGTGGACGCCGCGGAGAAAACAACGCAGACAACCGCAAACTCCCAGCTGAAGGAGATCTTGAAGTTGTGAGTGTGAGAAAGACTTTTCAAACCACAGAGAGAAACAAAAAAAAAAATGATGTTGTAACTCTAACAACTCCTTCATAACGGCCCCACAGACACAGTACACTGTAACACTTCAGAAAGCAATGCAATCTCCACAGTTTGCTTTTTGTCTGCACTGGATTCACAAAGCAGATAGCATCAGCATGCTGCTGTCCCCTATGCAATATATATATATATATATATATATATATATATATATATCTATATATATATATATATATATATTAGTGCTGTCAAAATTATCGCGTTATTAACGCGTTAACGCGAGGCCATTTTAACGGCGATAATTTTTTTTAACGTGAGATTAACGCTATGTGGTTTTATGGTACAATTTTCCAAGTACATCCCGCTGAAGCCTGCTTGAAGGCGGGGCTATTTTCCCCCAGTGTATGCATTTCTCATAGGCTTCGAGAGCGGAGCTCCTCAAGGGAAAAAGACGCTCATACACTGGGTGACGCTAGTGCCTTTTCTTTAAGCCCCACCACCAACAAACAAGTTCAGTGTCTGGTAACTAGTAGCAACCAGAAATACGCTGAGAAAACAGATTACTGAGGTGAAATGGAATCTGCTAGGGCACACTTGCCGTCTGTGTACGCCACAGGTCGGTATCGTGTGTGTGTGTGTGTGGGTGTGTGTGTGTGTGTGTTCTCATTTTTGTTAAGAGGCTGAAAAGTAACTTTCTAGAGCATAGACTACCTTCATCTAGTGATGTCGGTCTATTGATTTTGATGTATTGATTGAAAATTGTTCATTATTATCTTGGTTAATTAACATCTAATGTTAACTCTACTGCATTTTATAGCAGTAGGGTAAAATGCTTGTCTTTGTTCAAAAGACTGTATTAACTGTAAAGACTGTCTTTTACATCAGCCTGTTTTCAGGGCCTTTTTTTTTGGCTACACATTTGTTATTTTTTGCTACATGCCTCCCCATCTTCTTGCCATATGTTTCTGTGGCATAAATCAGTATCTGTGACCTGTTCTCATTTAAAAAAAAGAACATTGGCACAAACCTAGCCTGTATGTATTTTTTGTATGTCATCGAGAGTATTTAAATGATTTTCAATCAGGAAAAAAATGTGCGATTAAAATGCGATTAATCGCGAGTTAACTTAGGCATTGATGCGATTAATCGCGATTAAAAAAATGTAATCGATTGACAGCACTAATATATATGTATATATATATATTAGGGATGGGACGATTTATGAAAACAGTCAGAATCGTTCGGTTCGACTGTCTCAGTTCGGTTCGGTTCGTGTGTGTTTCGTTCGGTTCATGCGCTGCTCCTTTTACTCATAGAGGAAGCAATTACACTCCAGAGCAGAAGGTGGCGGTACTGCGACCAAAGCCAACCGCCAGTAGTAAACAAGAAGAAAAAGAAGCGAAGCAGCGTAGCCGGGTGTAGCAGGGAAAAAAATCAGTTGTTGTGGAGAATTGTGTCGGACTGGCGAGTGGGAAAGAACAGGAGTTGGAAGACGCGCCAGCAGCACTTTATAGGTCTGCTGTATGGGACCGCTTTGCATTTAGAGTGACCTACGATGACGGCGGAAAGAAAGTTGTGGAACAGTGTGCAAGCATTGTGCAACACGTTTTGTTTATGCTAACAGCAACATGTCATGCTAACCCCGAAATCCCATATACTCCGTCAGTAACCCCCGCTCCGCCCCGCTGCGCTCCAGACCGGCTGCTCAAAGCAAAGCCTACAGCCTCCACTGTGGCTTCGTCTGCTCCCCTCTGAGTCCCTTGGAGATGGTAGAGAGCATGTAACCTGACAACAGCCAGCGGAGCGAGACATGCATCTGGCTGTTGTCAGGTTAGAGAGCATGCGCCAGATGATTAAATTCAAAGCAGCAAAACATACGTAAATGATCCAGGGTTTCTGCGGATCATTTAAAATAATTACAATCCATTATTTTTTGGGGGATTTTTTCATTAATTTCATAAATTTTTATGGGATTTCGGTGTAACAATCAACATGTATCGAATCGAACCGAAAACCGTGACCAGAAACCGTGAATCGAACCGAACCGTGGATTTTGTGAATCGTTCCACCCCTAATATAAAAGTATGTATGTATATATATATATATATATATATACACTATATTGCCAAAAGTATTTGCTCACCCATCCAAATTATTGGAATCAGGTGTTCCAATCACTTCCATGGCCACAGGTGTATAAATTCAAGCACCTAGGCATGCAGACTGTTTTTACAAACATTTGTGAAAGAATGGGTCGCTCTCAGGAGCTCAGTGAATTCCAGCGTGGAACTGTGATAGGATGCCACCTGTGCAACAAATCCAGTCGTGAAATTTCCTCGCTCCTAAATATTCCACAGTCAACTGTCAGCTGTATTATAAGAAAATGGAAGTGTTTGGGAACGACAGCAACTCAGCCACGAAGTGGTAGGCCACGTAAACTGACGGAGCGGGGTCAGCGGATGCTGAAGCGCATAGTGCGAAGAGGTCGCCAACTTTCTGCAGAGTCAATCACTACAGACCTCCAAACTTCATGTGGCCTTCAGATTAGCTCAAGAACAGTGCGCAGAGAGCTTCATGGAATGGGTTTCCATGGTCGAGCAGCTGCATCCAAGCCATACATCACCAAGTGCAATGCAAAGCGTCGGATGCGGTGGTGTAAAGCACGCCGCCACTGGACTCTAGAGCAGTGGAGACGCGTTCTCTGGAGTGACGAATCGCGCTTCTCCATCTGGCAATCTGATGGACGGGTCTGGGTTTGGCGGTTGCCAGGAGAACGGTACTTGTCTGACTGCATTGTGCCAAGTGTAAAGTTTGGTGAAGGGGGGATTATGGTGTGGGGTTGTTTTTCAGGAGCTGGGCTTGGCCCCTTAGTTCCAAGGAAAGGAACTCTGAATGCTTCAGCATACCAAGACATTTTGGACAATTCCATGCTCCCAACTTTGTGGGAACAGTTTGGAGCTGGCCCCTTCCTCTTCCAACATGACTGTGCACCAGTGCACAAAGCAAGGTCCATAAAGACATGGATGACAGAGTCTGGTGTGGATGAACTTGACTGGCCTGCACAGAGTCCTGACCTCAACCCGATAGAACACCTTTGGGATGAATTAGAGCGGAGACTGAGAGCCAGGCCTTCTCGTCCAACATCAGTGTGCGACCTCACAAATGCGCTTCTGGAAGAATGGTCAAAAATTCCCATAAACACACTCCTAAACCTTGTGGACAGCCTTCCCAGAAGAGTTGAAGCTGTTCTAGCTGCAAAGGGTGGACCGACGTCATATTGAACCCTATGGATTAGGAACGGGATGTCACTTAAGCTCATATGTGAGTCAAGGCAGGTGAGCAAATACTTTTGGCAATATAGTGTATATATGTATATATATGTATATATATATACGCTAGAATATCCTCTATTAGCTTTTGGAAAAAGCTTTTAAAAGGATTTTATAATATTTTACTTATTTTTTTACCTTAATGGATGATAAATTGTTTGCTCGATCCTCCTGATCAGATTTGGTAAGAGTTTGATATATCCATTAACTCCATTGTTTGTAAAACAAAAAAAGAATGTGATGCGTCACAGCTGCTATTGCTGCTGTGACTGACTAAAAGGTCGACATGGGAGGCAGGTGACCAATATGTAGTTCAAATAGTTTCAATCTAGTTAATCCTAGGATAAGAAATCACAGTTAGGAGAGTTTCCAGATAAATAAACTGCAATGCAAACTGTTGGACAGGAGATTGTCAATAGAATGAGTATAACAGTCAGTGTAACATAATTACTAGGGATGGACGATATTGGGATTTTGACCGATATCCGATATGCCGATATTTTGAAACTCATCTAGCCGATAACCGATATAGATACCGATGTTAAAGCTGGACAAAAATAAGTAGTCAATGAAAATAGCAGTTTTTTTTATCCATTTCTGACACTTTGAAAAATAATATACTCAGATATATTTTCATATGCTGATATCAAATTGATTTTTAAAAACGCGGTATCGATCTATTTCAATCTGAAAAACTCGCACAGAGAGAAAAGATAATTAGAAGAATTTTATTGATAAGAAAGTATAGTCTTTGGCGCTCAGACCTCGGCAGGAACATTCATGCTGAATTATGCTTTAATATGCATAAGTAGATGAATGAGAATAGGGATGTTCCCCCCGGCCTGAAACTGGTGGTGGTTAAGTTCGAGCTGGTTAACGAGGTGATCTGCTTGAGCTGTATTGTGGGAACAGAGACTACGGGAGCTGACACCGGGCTTCACTCAGGATGTAGAGGTCTTGCTGGTGATGCAGGTACCATGAACTGTCCATGATGAGCAAGCATGAAGCGACAGTGGAGAGGAAAAACTCCCCTTTGGGAAGAAACCTCTGGCAGAACCGGGCTCAACATGGTGGTCTTCTGCCGGACCAATTGCAATGAGACGAGGGATGGTGACGACTGGAATTAATACTCTCTGATGAGGTTGGGGTAGAAGTCATGTCATGGAAGACGACTCAGCTACGATGGCGGAGGAGGGGATGGAGGTGGGTGAATTGTCGTCTGAATAAAATCTGACATTGCGTTTGCTGGATAGCGGGCTGAGACAGGGATTTGAAGGTGCTTATGAAGTGAAAGCAGGATGCTGATTGGCCTTCGTGGTGGAGTAGTTCAAAGCTGATTGGCTCGCGTCAGAGACGGATCAGCTTTTGATTGAATGGAGGTAAGCCAGAGTTTCTTCAATTGAACTTCTGCTAGAGCTTCATTTTACTTTCAAAATCTCGTGAAATTTCATCGTTCTGTTACAAAATCTCGCGATATTTTGCAAATTCTTGTGAGATTTTGTTAGTAAAATAGATCAATACCGCGTCAATATATCAACATATAAAAATATGGCAAAATTTTGTGAACTTTCGGGGGATTTTGTAGCATAATGATGACATATAGCAATATTTCATTAGTAAAAGAGATTGATATGGTGTTTTTAAATGGCAATATATCAGCATATGAAGATATTGGGATATTTTAATGTATCAATATTTTTTCCCCTGTCTTTAGAAGTTTTTAAGTCTGTAAAAAAGAAGTTTTTGAGGAAGAAGTAGTAGTACAGGTAGTATTTTTTTTTTAGACTTTAGAAACTCAGAAGCTGATCAAATATCGGATTAAATATCGGTGGGGTGGCCAATGTCCGGTATTCAGTTTTAAGGCCGATACAGGCCGATACCGATAGGGGGCCGATTATATCGTGCATCCCTAATAATTATATGTAAAAAAAAAGAAAAGAAAAAAAAGTAAAAGAAAAACCCTGGACTTTGTTTTCAAAGTTTGAAGATGTTTGTTTAACTTTAATAGGATGACTATGACCTGGATGACTGGGAATCTTCAGTAGTATTGTTACATGCAGTCTATACATAAACTATGCTAACTTAAATTAATGAGAATTAAAAAGCAATACTTCAGTCTACACATCTTATTATTGGAAACTCTATTAAATGAAGAAAAAGGGACAGAATCCTTTTTTTTTTTACAACATCCTGTTTTTTGTTCGTCCAGCTGTGCAGCAGGTCACTTTTATCTTTTCAGTCTGTCATTCAGCACCTAGTTTGTGTTATAAGCTAAGACTTTAAGCTGTGAACATCTGCCTCAGTACTCGTTAGCTAGAGCTGCATTTGATGTTCTCTCACTGGATCCAATTACAGAAAGCAATATGTTGCTGTTAATCTGATTAAGACTGTAAACACATTTTCTGCCATGTAAACAGCAGTTTCTCAGACCTCTTATGGAGAAATATTTTAATCTTAAATAAATTATTCCATCCTGTCATTTATTTATTTTTTGGCTTGAAGCTTAAATCCTTTTGTCTTTAAAGTTTTCAGGGCTGTTAATTATAAGAACCTGTGGGCTTATTAAAAAAGAGAGAACACATATAAGCTTTTAGTAGTTGAAAAAGCATTAGAACTTTGAATATATGAGAATGTAAAGCTGGCGTGACTCATTTATCTTCTTTGTTAGATATATACAGGTTTATAACATAGACTTGGACTACTGTGTTCACCCCTTTGTAAAAACCTAGTCAAATTCTAATGAATTAATTAGCTCCTCTGATTTATACACATTTTAACTTTATTCTTTAACACACTGCTTCAAAGGAATACAGTTTTGTTTGTTTTATTTCTAACTTTCCTCTCATATTATGTATCAATGTTTTTCAGAGCTATGAATATCTCTACAGAGCCTACATTGCTGTGAAAATGCAGATGATGTTTGTCTTGCTCATAGACATTTACTGAGTGCAAACAGCTGCTGCTGGAATTAAATATTAAATACATGACCTTTTAAATATAAGGCGGTCTCTCTAACTGGATCACAAAGCTGCCGTTTCACCTTTAAATTATCACTGAATGCTCTTTCTTACTCTTACTTTTGGTTTATAAAAGTTTATAAAAGAATGATTAGATAGATTTCTTAGTAAACAAAAGAAAGAATATAGTCACTGAGATTTAAAGCTAATAAAGGGGACACAAAGACACCTTTTTCTTCCAGTATCTAACTGTTAAATTTCTAAGAATAGACCAGGACCTGTGTGCTCTATTGTAAGACTAAAAGAGTTTGTTTTTTTTTAGTTTGCTGATATTGGTGATTAACTCCAGCTCTCTGCTCTAGGATTGAAGAATAAGAACATGGTTAGATAATTAAGAAAGTAATTTAAAATCCAGACAATACCGATTCTTCTTGATTACAAAGTGAGTCAATATCACAGTAGCATGTAAACATTGTTTAGAGTTTCAAAGGCATTTTTAAGGCTTTTGTATTTTTTCTTCACGTCATTTCATGATGAGAATATTTGCATTTTATTTTAACGACGAGGTAAATTTGTTCATTTCTTAAACCAGACCTCTGAAGACTGATATATATTTTTTTACTGCTTATTTCCTCTTGAAGAAACATATTTATTTTAGTCTACATATCCAAATCTCATGGGCGTGAAATTGATGACAATGAGCATTTTTTATTGTACATTAAGCATCCTTTGCTAACATAGTACTTGTTGTTCCACAAGACTAAAAAATAAAGCAAAACATATTTCTTTTGGGACGTGTAACACTTTGAAAACAGCTTGACAGCTTTACATTGGGCGTGTCTTATTTTAGATTTCTCATCCTTATTGTTTTTGTAGTTGCAAGCAGCTGTTTTTCTGTAAAGGTGTCACCAGTAGAAAAGTGCATCATTTATTTTACATGCGGACCAAAGCTAAAATTAGATGCTTCTAGGTAGGAGGGGTGTTTGTTTTTGGTTATTTGACTAATCACCCTGGGATTGTAATATGAAGATGTGCAGCTTTGGTGTTTAGCCCTCTAAGTTTACATGAATGTCTTACTCTATCTGGGTCCTGCCTCGGATTTTGCTTCAGCAGGTTCAGCGATGTGACAATGCTGCACAGAATATGGGGTTTGAACATTCTAACCTAAATATTTCATCAGAGGCAGATGTAGAAGAACAGTCTCTCATTCTGTTAGTCCTCTTTACATCTATTTTTATTCAACTTTTACCCTTCTCCTGCTCTTTTTATCAGTCCTTTCAAGTCAAATTTCCTTTCTAAGTACGACTGATGAAGAATGGACTTGTTTTTAATAGCAGTCGTCTTTATTTGTCTCTGCAGCTTTGTAGACTCCAATGAAATATTTAGACTGCTTTTAACCCATCCCCACAGAGAGCAGTGGGCTGCCACTTTGCACCCTTGGGGGAGCATTCTGGGGGGGCTGGGGGTCTTGCTTTGGGATTCTGAATGGCAGTCTGCGGGATTTGAACCAAGGAACTTGTAGCCCTTCTAACCGCTAGGCCACCAGTCCCTATTATACTGAGAGAATCAAAGGATAATACTTAAAAAAAAAATTTAGATTAAGATTTTTTTTCTTTTGAACAAACATTTAAAGAACTCTCCCTTTAAATTGATTATATGTTGTTTTCTTGTCTTTTGTTAGTTTTTTTTTTACCTCCCTTATTTTTAGTGTAATTTGTAATAAAGGGTATCAGGACTTAATTCCACTCCCACCTTTATTTTTATTTTTTTTATTTGTTTGATAGGGACAAGTATGTTTCATGAATCATGTCACACACTGCAACCTTTTAGCTAAGGCTAATTCCCAGTTTCTATATGAATACTCTTCAAACTCCACATTAGTTTCTATATTTCTAATAAAGCAAAGCACGGTGGACCTCTCGTTGCATAAACATGTAATCGTATTTTTGAAATATGTGTCCTATTTAAACCAGTGTTAGAACTGTTGGAACTGCCTGCAGGAATAATTCATGAATGCTTCTATAGTAACAGCATACATTTTAGAAACATGTTCCTCTGCTTAACATAAGCATTGCTTTTAAGTTATACATTTTTTATGATCAGTTTTGTTTGTTAAACAAAGCTTCACATTTCACAGGTTTTAATCCTTGTCTTTTAAGTCTTACTGACAATACATGGTGCAGACTCCTAGTTTCTGTGCTGCATTTTAAAAGCACTTTTATGTAGCTTTACATAAAGCTCTCCAGCTATGAGGTTAAACTATCATGGTTTGTCTAATTTTGAACTTAACACATCTGAACCGAATATGAATTTAAAATAAAAAAAAGCAGCCTGATTATTATAAAGTTGAAAAATAACTGCATTACTCTGTAGGGGACAGGTTCACGAACTGAACAATGTTAGCTAAAGTGAATGCAGTGTTGCGTTGGTGAGATCCACTAGATCCCTCTTGCAAAATTTTCTGCAGATTGAAATCACAAACCTTAATGTTGTTTAGTGTCTGAACTTTCCTTCTCATCTTTATGGGACTCTCTGTAGTGGACTAGGACGTCGGTCTAAATTTAGCTCTATTGATTGTAGGAAATAAATAGCTTGAGAGCGATGTGCTGCTGGTAAAAGCTAAGATGGGAAAACCTCATGGGGAAAGCTAAAGCAGGCGCCGTTCCCGATCACAGACCTACAACAAAGCAAGAGACGCTGAACACATATCAATACACTTAACCTCTGAGCAACACACCCAGTTTTTTGGTGTGCAAGTTATTACTCTATATATCTTAGTTGGTTCAGTCAAGACAGTCATTTTTTAAATATGTTCAAGAAAAACTTTAATTCCTGAAATACAGGCGATGTTTTGTAAATTATTTTTTAAAAAACTTTGACATAATTCAGACCAGGTGGTCCTCTGTAAATAATGCTGGGTCCCATCTAAGGTGAACTTTTGAATCACAAACTGTTTTATTATTCTCTGCTCAGTACAAAATAAACCCCAATTAGTTTGGCTGACCTTTAAAGTCATTCTAGTGATGAGTGGTTTATGCTGTGTGAGACAGATCCCATCCAGACACACAATTAGTAACACATTATAGAGGCTAACCTCATTAGGAAAGTTGGAGAAATCCAAACATTTTTCAAAGAACACTCTGCGAGAAGTTGCTTCAAAATAATGCATGAAATGGAAACATTAATTTGGGATATTAATTAAAACCAATGTGACATCAGTTTTCGTAAAAGGAAAACAAAAGGTTTGTGTAACAGCTCCTCAGCATTTCTGGTCTCCTTCCAGGGAAGAAGTCTGTCATGTTTTACACTGCTGGTTAGATATTTGCTCTGTAAGGATATTAAAGTAATTTATGAATGTTGACATACTTTATTTTCTCTGTGCAGGTCAGTACATGGTCGGTGGAGGAGCTGCGGATGAAACTCGCCTCCCTGGATCCTCAGATGGAGCAGGAGATAGAGGAGATCCGCCAGCGTTACCAGGCTAAGCGGCAGCCCATCCTAGATGCAATCGCAGCAAAAAAGCGACTTCAGCAGAACTTCTGAGAAGGCCCTGCAGACGTCTTTACACCTCCTCTGCGTCTGTAACAAATGTCTCATCCTGGTTGCTGGACAAGATTTAATGTAGCTGGATGTGACATCTGGAAACTCATGGAAGAAATTAAACGTGGACGGCGCACCTTGATGTCAAAGACCTTCCCTGTTCTACAGAATGCTGGTTTGATTGGAGGGAATCTGCTTTCTTTAAGAGCTCATTCAGAAATGAGCAAAGAAAAAGTTTTCTATCTGAACTGGATTTGCAGGTTTCTTCATCTGCCTTCAACATTGCATGCTTTTTTTTTTTTTTTTGAAAGGACCGTGACTGCGCTCAAACCATCAACAACCTTTAAGTTTTTGGTTTGTCAGCAGGTGCTCTTATTGAGGGCTTCCTCTATGCTGGAAAATGGCTGCTGCTACATGTGAGTGTTTCTACTCCTGTCTGGAAAAACAAGAAATAGATCAAATAACTTTCCTCTTTAATAATGAAAAAGAAGCACAAAAAGCAGAACACAGAGATTTAATGAGTTAAGACCAGCACATGACTGCCTTCCCTATGACACAGGTTGATCAGTTTACATGTCAAAGTTTAATATGGATCTAAACCAGCTTGAGGCCTTTAGAAACTGCTGTAACAAATTCAGAGCCCAGAAGAAGGTTTAAAGGTTTCTCTTTTATTCCTCAGTGAAGTGTTTGAATTTTTCTCCCTCAGTTTCCTTAAACCGGTACGTTAGTAATTTTACTCTCAGCCCTGGATGTAAATGTTAAATTATCTTAAACAGGAAAGGCTGATTTCCTTTTTCCTAAGAGAGATAGCGGCAACAATATTATAAAGGAATCCGTAGGATTTTCAGGCTTCTTTGCTGTTTTTTTCTCACAGATATGTATTGTGTTTGGTGATGATGATGTTGCCTTCTTTCTTTTTTTCACCAGAGCAGCTGGTGCAGGTCCATCTGAGACTTCAAGCTGCAGAATTTTAGGTTAATGTGCAACCTGATCATTGGGGTTGCACGTTTTCTATCACATGCTAAATGTCTGCATCCCTCTGGGGTTCATAGCACTTTGGTCAAGTTGATGTTCTGGATATCTGTGCAACTATGGCAGAGCTGTTTGTTTGTCCACTGTTGCCTTTCGTAGACATTCCTTCTCTGAATCTAAAAAGATCAGAAGATCATTAAAGTTAACACAAAAACACAAAACTACATTAAAAATTATATCAGTATTTTGAACAGTATTAAGTTTAGAACGCTGAAAAAACAAAACAAATGGAGCATTTTTAAAAGTTAACGCAAATGAGCAATTATTACTTAACAAATCCAAATTATAATTTAATATATAATTTTTCTGTAATTGAATTTTGATCTTCTACAACCTGTTTTAGAGCCTTGCAAGCTTTCTTCACATTTATGATTGAGGCGTAAGAAATTATTAACTCAGCTTTATGCCTCACATTTATAATTTAAAGGGATTCAATCAGAGTGGAGACATTTTTGTTGCTTATTTCCTTTTAGGTCATCATTAAAGACTCCTGGAAAAAATAAAGAGTTTAGGCTGTACTTACCTCAAGGTTCAGGCGTGGATGTAATATTTGAGAACAATTCAAAGTTTGTGATTTTTATGTTTCGCATACAAACCGTTTTGAGGGAGTATTTTGATCATGTTTTTGCCTTGTTTTAACCACCAGTGTCCTTAATATTTTTTTGCTTCATTTATTCAGTCCATTAATGTATTGTAATTTCCAACTACACATGAAACGGTAATTAGATTGACAAATTAACCAAACAAATTAAAATAAGGTTTTTTTTTCTACTTTTAACAGCTTCCAAAAGGCCTCTTTCTAGAAAAAATTCAGCTTTACTTGTGACATTCCTAAGCTTTTCCAGCATTTCAGACATATCTACTTTTCATCTAGCTCAAAGAAAGTGAATAGAAATAAAATAAGGGACGAGTATATTTTTGTTACATAGGTTTAGAGCTGACACGGTCAGAAAGGTGGAAGCCTTTAGTTACTGTGAGTAAAACAAGCTTCTCAGGTCATCAAACTCCTCAGGGGTGTAAATAATGACAATGAGAACCTGCTGTAGATGTTTAGAGACGTTCCACACAGACTGAATGAGAAGCATTCAGCTGTGTGAGTGCTAGCATTTCAGCTTTGCTGTTAGTTAAATGAGGGAATCCCTTCAGCTGAATGCTGTAATTAACTGAGCTTCTTCTTTGGATGCCATCATTTTCTGTAATAAGACAATTTTTTTTGTGTTGCAAGCTAAAGGGATTCTTATTTCATCCTGTGGTTTTACACTGAATGCACTGCTTCCTTTTTCTGATCATCATTCAATTTTTTTGTGACTGTACAGGAAAAAGGACAAATCCTGAAAATAATCTCATTAGTATTACTGAATTAGATGAAAAACCTGTTGAGTTCTGCTCAAACGCTTACAAAAAAAAGTCTAAATCACTGGAGAAAACCGACACAAGGCTAACGTTGCTGAAGTGAAATACGTAGAAGCTAATGTTCCTTTGTTTTATTGTTTGAAACTTTAAAAACGGCAAACAACAAAGTCATCAGATTTTCCTGAGCCAGAATCTGCTGCTCCACTGTTCTAATTGTTTTTAAAAGGTTTACAGTAACGGTAAACCTTTAATGTGTGGAAAAGGAAAATGTGTTTTATTAAGTGCTGATTATGGGTAGTTTGATTTCTGTTATTTAAATTATTTACATACTTTAGGTTTAAAATTGAAATCGATATAATTTACAAAGTGTAAATCCTACTAAAATTTCTTTCTCCAGTCTTACCACTGTTCAGATTTTCTTTATACCTATTTAATATCATTGAAATAAAGACTAAATTGTGGATAGATGTACGATTTATTAAGACATAGACCTCTAAAAGCATTATATTTTAGCAGTGCTCCTGGCATCTATTATAAGACAGATTTAACATGGATACATCAAAGTGTTTTGGAAGTCATTGCCTTTTGGGTTCTAAGTACAAGACTGTTTGTCTGCATGCGAGTTTACTCGTCACTCTCCAAGGTGCATGTGCCTTAACACACAGCATGCAGTACAAGTCAAGAATATGTTGCGATCAGTGGTATTTGGTTTGTGTTTTTTTGTTTGCTTCTTTAATAAAGAGAATAAACTAAAGTCGCTGTTTGGCCTCTTTCTTTGCCTCTTATGAACATTTATACATTATCTGTAATAGATCATTGGTCAAAATATCTTTGGATGAAGTCTTTTTTTTTTTTTTTATCACTTTGTTGTCATAGTTAAAACTAGCAGGTTTAAACAGCCATTGTTTATAAATATGCGGTACCATTACAATCCTCAGTTTGTTCTTGAAACAGGTTAACATGTGTTGACATATGTTCTCCAAACGTTAAAGTTAATTTTGCTGATGAAGGTTCTCAGTCATCCAGGTCATAGTCATTCCGTAAAAATTCAAAAAATATCCACTGGACTTGGTTTTCAAGATTTGAAGACGTTTCGCCACCTCTCCAGGAAGCTTTCTCAATTCAAATGTCTGGATCCGCAGTGAGTTTGAGTCTTATATAGACAACGCCTTGTATCGCTTGGAAACATGCAATAGAAACCGATGAATGGGTCGTTAGTTCCATCGTTAGCCTGTAATATCTGAAACTGTCTATGATTCTAGGGGTCGGTCGTTAAAGGGGGGATTGTCATTAAGGGGGGGATTGTCTCCTGTAATACCTGAAACCTGTCTATGATTGTTAAGGGTTGGTCGTTAAGGAGGTATTGTTCACCGGCTGGAGCGGGTAAGTCCCTCGTTCCTCTGTGATGGGGTGGGGGGTTTGGTGATATCTGGAAGGGATCATGTCTATGATTGAATTGTATGTTTTTGGAAGCTGGAATCTCAGTCCACCACCTCTGTTTAAAGTTGGTTTTTCTCTCTTAACATAGATGGCTTCCTTCACGCCCCTCTCAAACCACCTATTTTCTTTATCTAGAATATGGACATTCTGGTCCTCAAAAGAATGTCCTTTGTCCACAAGGTGTAGGTGTACTGCGGAGTCTTGTCCAGAGGTGGCCGCTCTTCTGTGTTGGGCCATGCGTCTGTGTCTTCAAATCTTGAAAACCAAGTCCAGTGGATATTTTTTGCATTTTTTTGAATTTTTACGGAATAAAGTTAATTTTGTTAATAACTGTAATCCACACAATCAGATATATTCATTTATTGCCAGGTTTGTAAAGCCTCATGAGAGCCACTCAGAATTTACCATGTCGTTCCCATATATGCATATTTAAATGTTTTGGGCTTTGTTTTTGTTGTGTTGGGTTGCTGTGAGTAACATGGGTTTAATTTTTGAGATGATTTTTTTTTGGGGGGGGGGGGGGACTAATAAAGTGAGGTAATATACGGTAAGTATTTTGAATGTGAGTTAATTGAAATAATGCATAATGGTCAGTTTTTTTTAGGCGGTAATAAAATAGGAGAAAAGAATACAAGACAGAGAAAGTCAAGGAACCCAATAACATTAAAGCTACAGTGTGTAATTTTCAGCGACATCTAACGTCCAGACTGCAGACCGCAGCAACATGAACATCTCCCCCCCACCGCTTCTCCCCCCCAACAGTACGGCAAGCGTTACGGGACAAAATGTCTTCCACGACGTCTGCATCACCTACCTTCTCAAGTGATGAGGTTTGTTTACATAGATAATTTTACAGATAGTATTTCATTAGTCTGTGTGTTCAGTACCGTCTCAGTTCATCTCTCTCAACTTGCCGTAGTTACTTTCGAGCGTAATGGGTGATCTCGCAATCGCTAGTTTGTTGGCTCTGCGCTGCCGTAGCGCAAAGATGTCTGCCTCCATGGCTGCGAGACCCGCTCCTATGTAATTATAAATAACGAATTCTAAGGCAACGCAAATATTAAGGTTAAGAGGCTGAGCTCATAGGTGATGATAAATAACATAGTTATGTATAATATATTACATTTCTGACTGTATATCCCTGTAATTATTACACACTGTAGCTTTAAATATATTATGGGATATCTTTGTTTATGTTTCTTGTATTTCTGTTTGAAGAACTAAAATAATGACGAAGCGCAGGTTGCAGTTGATGAGAGCAAGATCCACCCAAGAACTAATTTACTTTCTAAAACTAATTCAAGGTTGCTGAGAGGATCATTGCAGGTTGGTTGTCCATTCCACATGTGTTTTATGGCTCTGGGAGAGGCTTACAAATGTGTCCTCTGAGCCAGAGGTTGCAGCAGGAGTAACTGGTGCAATGGAAGCCTTTAAGAAGCATGCAGGGTTTTTTGTTTTGTTTTTTTTTTTGTTGGTTTTAATGATCAAACCAAAGGCTGTGCCTCTATTCCTTGTACTAAGATTCTCCCATGTGCATTTTTGACTATGCCAGGGTGGCCCATTGCTATCTTTTTTATTGGTAGCAACAGTCAGGATGTGGAGAGGATGTTCTTTATCGCATGCTGTTGTTGGCATCTTTAAACCATTAAAAATGAAATAATCTAGTTCTTTATCACCAGTTATAATTTAGGAGACACAGGCTGATAGGAGCATAATTTGACATAATACAAACATTACTTTGCTCTGTAACAGGGCGAACAGATCTCTATCCTGATCTCTAAAGATCCTCATTTAATAGTCTGTTCAAATTCCAACATTCCTTCAAGGTTAGAAAGTCTGGATTATGACTAGAATGCCATACATCAGCACCATGCAGCTAAAATTAGCTTCCCATGTAGGGTCCCTGGACTCACCATTACAGACAAAGTGAGGATCTCCGTCATCTAGGGAAAGGTTGATGTAGAGCAGTGTTTTCCATGTCTGCTCCGGCACGTTTTCCAGCTTCAGTACAGCTCATTTCCATAGGTGGGGGTTTACCAGACTTTGCTAAACTGCAGGCATCTCAAACAGGTATGTTAAAGCAGAGAAACATCTAAAAACTGCAGGTTAGTGTGCCAGTAACCTCTAATCTCTGTATAGAAGAGGGCAGTGGATTGAAGACTTTTTTTGTGTCCTTAATGTTTCAGATATTTCAACTAAATTCAATAAAAGAAACTTGTTACCATGCATTTGCAGAGGTTCATGATGTACTGGAGAGGCATTTTAATCTCTAAAGGACTGAAGATGGAAACTCATGAATCCACTATAGAATAACAACTGGAAGCATATTTATGTCTTTGCATATATGAAGATTTTAGTTCTCTGCCCTCACTTTAGCTCCACTTTGAACAGCAGACAGAGCGACTGAGCTCAATATCCCCTTGATTTTCTAAAAGCCTTTTCTTGTCCCATCAACAAAACCTTTGAGGCACTTCGATGTCCCGTTTTCGTTATCCTTCACTATGGTGAGAGTTACATCTGCCAAAATAGCTGAAATGAATATTTAATCAGCTGACAACAAATATAATCTCACTCTCCTTTGCGGTCTACAGGCCCGCTGGTTCTCGGTACCTTAATTAGATAAATGTGTGTGCTTGCAGAGGACAAACACTTGTGTCTGAGAAAGTCTTGTTTATAAGAGCAATTTGCAATGTTGTCCTGACATTTACTGGGGAACATTTGTTCATTAAGATTAATGTAACATCTGCGTCATATTTCTATTAGTGTCTTCATTCAACACTAAGGGCATTTAGCTTCCAGTACCGCCACATCAGCTGATTAAAAAAATACAAAACAGAGAGATAAATATTTAAAGAGATGCAATCAGATTACAATTTTGGTTCAGTTTTCAAATTTAGAACCTTAATAGTGGTAAAATTTCCTGTTTTGTACTTTATTGATATAAACAAAAATGCTCAAATTAAACTTGACACTTTTGACAGTTATACACTCCCAGTTTAAAAAGTGCCACTTCATTTTTTTTATCACTATATTAAAATAAAACATAAAAAAGTAAATAAGGAATATTGAAACAGAATGTACTACAAATTCATCATGATTGAAATAAATGATTAACCAAGTAGTGGATTGATTCTTAACTTTCTGTGTTGTCAGTAATTGTAGCAGCAGTCATTTACCTGCAGGGATTCCCTTTGTGTGGCCCTCTGCTGCTGTAGCCCATCCGCCTCGAGGTTTAATGTGTTGCTTATCCATCCTTGCTGCGTACCTTGCCACTTTTCATAATAGGGCTTGGTCATATTGACGGCCTCTTTTACCGTGGCTCAGACTACTGCCTATGACTACCGCATACTGTACTCCTTCTCAGCCTGATTAATTTCACCTTAACTTGATTTCAACCATGGTGAACCGTTGCTGTATTGTGGGCTGTAACAGCGCAACACATGATCGCCAGGGGAAAAACATAGAAAATGGGTTAACTTTCCACCGCTTTCCTGCCTGGAGGCGTAACCATGGAGACCAAGCGTCAGAGATAAATAGCTTGGATCGCGGCTGTAAGACGACCGAACATAACTTTCCACAGTATTCCAATGTCATTGAGAGTGTGTCCCCTGCATTTTCATTCTGGTAAGTTAAAGATGCACGGTTTTATTTTATTGCCTACTTTGTTTCTTTCCTTGAAAGTTGGGATCTTTTACGGGAAAATAATAAAAACGGCAGCGGGAAAAGGCTCAAATACGTGAGAAACCCGGAGGGTTGGCAGTTAACGTTACTAACTACACCTTTGAAACACATAGCAGCTAGTTAAAAGTACATTACATGCGTGAGTGGTTGTTAGCATTAGCGGTTAGCAGTTGCTAAACTAGCAGATTCCAGAGCCCGTCTGATCACAGCTTACCTTTGTACAGATTACTCTGTTCCCACTGTTTGCTGGCTTTATGATGTGCAGCTCCTGAACCCATCCATTCATGAACTGCACATGAGACTCCAAGGACTTGTAGCTTCGGAACTGTTTTGAAGTATAGGCGCTCACTCATCGGTGCTCCACTCATTGTTTGGAACTTCATATGGATCCAAATTATTAATAATGCTGATTTTGTCAACATACCGGTCCGTGGCTTCTCTATTTAACGTGTCCTGGTAAATTCCAGATCTTTTTCGGGATTTTAACATCTTTTTTCTCTCTACTTCTACGTCTCTTCTTTCAACAACAACGTTGTATCAGAGCTATGTTTACGTTTGCGTAGCCGTCAATATGACCGCGACGTCCCACAATGCAAAGTGGATCCCGAGCCCTATTCTAAATGTTCCGAGTCA